TTGCATGAAACATCACATAAAATTTCTCTCGCATATTCGATAGTGTTATTTCTTTAAAAAATTCACGCGATCGATATCAAACACGTGTATGTCACGTTGATGGAACGCTCGAGCGTTTCCCGATCGCTCCAATCGCTGATTCGCTATAAATCGATAAACTATTTTTTTCTTTCTGTCGATTCAAACTACGTTGTAATCGAAGTTTAATGGTTGTATAACAGAATTAAACAGTTACCCGCATATTTTTTTTACATGCATTCCTTTTCTCATGATCATAAATTATTATTGTCGCGTATCTAACAATTTATTGATTTGCTGAATAACGCGTGCAGATGTATACACGATTGAGTGGCCGTTCGTACACAAAACGCGAAACGCCTTAAACTATATAAACTGTCCGATATTATGCAAGCAGTGCTCCAGTTTCACAGAGCACCGCGCCGTTCGGTATTCCAGCTCACTTTCACTCATTCACTCGCCAACTCTTTTTTCCTGCACCAAGAGTCTCCTTCTCTCTCTCTCTCTCTCTCTCTCTCTCTCTCTCTCTTTTTCTCCCTACTCTCCGTTTTCGTTCTGCTTCTTTCTCACTCTGTTCGCATGACTTTCACTTCTCTTTCTCAGCTTTGCTCAGTCCTTTCTTCTTTGTGTGTCTCATTCTGTCGTTGCGCGGGCTTTGCAATTTGGCGGGGCCTCTCTTGTGAAAAATCACTGCGATCCCATGATTTACGAAGAGCGCTGTGTATATATATATATATATGTATGTATAAGTTATTCGTATCACACATGCGTGCACACAGGTCGTTACGAGATCTGCGATCTTGCGGCAATATATATCCGCGCGTATAGAGCGTGCTTATACAAAACGATTTCCTGGTTACGCGATTTTGATAGGTTCCGGTCCTGGGTCTAGCTTTACGTTGCGTAACCGCACGACGAATTTGAGACATTAATAAATTGCATCCGTGCGTGTGCGCGCTCGAGAAGTTGCGCACAATCTAAAAGTCTTCACAATATAAAACATATAATCGCGCGTTAGATTCGATTCGTACACGATTTTCTATACAAATCGTTTTATTTAATCTATCCATTTAACTCGCAACTCGAGGTTTATTGATTATTCGACGATTTTCTCATGCGCGTGAGGAACATTGTAGAGTAATTTTTGCAATAAATCATTTTTCTTTTCTTTTTTTTTTTTTTGTATTGATCCGTAATTACGATCTGCCATTAACGATACAATATCGCTTTCTTATAAGTTTGATGAGATAATCGCGTATAAACAAATCATATTTCACATATAATATATCGCCTTACGTAAACAAACTTGCGAAAGAAGTGCGGTTCTTTAGGCAAAACGATATCTTGACATTTCTTTGGCATGAAATTGCAATGCGCTTGTTACGTTTTGCGATTCTACATCGCGCTCGGGTGGTGAAATATTCGCGTCTATACATTCCCGTCCGCACCCTTTCGCGTGTGAAAATCGTTCGAGTGTCTCTCTCAGCAAAAAGCAGCCGCTGCCGAAAACCGCAGTGTTCCTTGCGAAATCCTCTCCCTCCCCCTTTCTCTCTCTCTCTCTCTCTCTCTTCACCGGGCATTAAAAGCGCGTTTTGCAATTTTTCATTACAATGAGCTCGAGCTCCTCGTTTATTTTCCGCATTATCAAGATTGTAACAGGACGTGCTTGTCTCCGGAGATATGACAGAAAAAAGAAGAAAGATTGACTAAACACAAAGTTAAAGAAAAAAAGAGATGAGTTCTGATGTTCACGCGTTGCGCCAATCCATCGATGCTAATTAAAAGTTCCACGATGAGCTCACGGACATCTTTATCGTCTTGCGCGAGAATGCGATGTTGATTGCGCGCGCAGTGGAGAACATTGTATTCAAAAACAATGTGGGATGCGTGTGAAGTAGTCGTGTATAATTAGCAACCGATGCACCACTTTCAACGTGAATCGATCGATACGTCGGATGCGTTTTTACCTTAGCGGTCCGCAAACGTAATTCGCGTCACTTTAGCGAGCGATCATCATTTAAGCATTTCTAGGTCGACGCGCGTGTCTACATGCAACGCGCATTCCGTCTGACATTTAATCCCTTGTATGCAACGGGTGCAACGTTTCTTCGCGTCCATCGTCGCGCGGTGCATTATATTCGTCGGCCACCTTTCTAGAACGTATTATTTGCGGATGATGCACCGTTCTGCAACGCACATAGAATGTCTCCGCGACTGCTGATATCTGGTTGCCATTATAATAGTTCGCGGGTATAATTCCACTTCCACGTCAAATGTCAGCGACGTGATGGAAAATTGCGTTTGCTGTGCGCGACGAGAATTCTTTATGTAATAGTACGAAGAGAGAGAGAGAGAGAAAAAAGCTAAAAGGTGGATTCGAGAGAAAACCCACCGGCTTTTTCATTCGAGCAGAAAATTGACACATTTATATAGGTCTGATTTAGAACTTTCCAAATGATTATTATTTATATTCCACAATTTCACTCGCGTACTAATTACGTCGATCTGGTTTTGTCTAACAAACGTCTATATTATTCTTAAATATAATTTCCTGAAGATTGTAATCGAACGATATGTCAAGTCACATAGATCCACCCTGCGGACAAGGACGGTGACCTTGCGATTGTTTTAAGGTCGCGAGCGAAGGATTTCGAGGTCAACCGCCGCGATAGAACGGGATCAGGATCTGTGTGCAGCGTTGAAATGGATTCCTCTGACGTCAGAGACTACCGCGCGTACGCGTCCTTCTGCATCCGTACGGTCGAGGACGTTCATATCCCGTTCAAATCTGCCACCTTTTCCTCCGTTCTGATATTTCCCGCCGACCTTCGCGACCGAATACTTCGACCAGCCGATACTTTCAATGCCGTCGGTAAGACGCCGGTGTATCTTTCGCTCTGCTAAATGCGTATAATTATGCGGACGTGCATATTGCGCACGTGTCTCCGGCGTGGATTTTTTTAACGTGACGTACATTTGCAAAGCGTTCCTCATTTAAGTTTTTTTTATTCACGTATGTGTGCATAGAAACTGCAAAAAATGAAGTTCACACTTCATAGCAACCGAGAGACGCAACAAAATTAAAATGACCTTCTAGAGAGTTAGGTAAACATCATTTGTATGTTTGTAGACTTTGCGCAGACCTCGTAAACGGACTCGCTGCGTCTCGCATAAAACTCTTGGGCGCATTGTGTATCTTCGGCATCGGTGAATTAACAGGATAATTAATCTCCCCGGCGCGCGCGCGTGTATCTCCCGCTGATTGTGCAATTGCGCCGTACTTAATTAGTCGCATATTCTCTGAAAATCAATCTCGCAGTCTCGATCTCTCCTTCTCAAGCGCGATTAAGAGCTCTCTTCCATTTTCCCACTCTAGTTACCTAATTCTAATCGCAGTTACGGATAATACGCTTACGCGTTCGTGTACCAGGGTAAATCTGTTGTTATTGCTCGTCATTAGACTTGTATGTGCCGCGCGCGCGTTTTGATGATAATTACATAACGGTTTTGTTGTTCTTTGTATGGGAAGCAGGTGTATGCACTTAGAATGCGAAAAGTAACGTTTAAGCGCAACATTTGTAATATTATGTTAATAATGAATTGATTTTCTCGATCCACATTCAATTTTTGAAAAAACGCGCGTCTCTCTTCTAGTTTTTATTTTGTATTGTCGCTTTCGTAACATCACCTTTCAATCTCCCAGTTTGTTGATGTGATTTTTGCTTCTTTCACATTCCGGCCGAAAGATTGGCTGCGCGAACTTTCCCGGCGGCGCGCGCGCGATATCGATTCTTCGGAAATACGACCGCACGTTCTCATTAAACCGCAATTATCTCAGTTTCCAGGGGCGCTTATTAATCAAACGGGTCTATAATCAGAGGGAAAACCTCACTGAGAAAGACCCCGTGGCTCTCGGACTTCCTTCTGCGCGAGAAGCCTTACGCGTTACGAAATCGGAGAATGCGAGATACGCGCACCGACGTTCGCGCTTTTCTCGTGCGTGTCTCTTCTGCATTGCGTAGACGCGTTCGGAGGAAATTAGTGCCTTAGCATATTGCGTTGTGACTTTTTCACGCACGTCTTTCACATCAGAAAGAAAGAACAGATCATCGTGAGATCCGTGAACTCTGTCTCTCGCAAATTTTGTATCTCTGATTGAAACGCACGTACACGCCAGTACAACTCGGATAATTGAGTTCGCTCTGGACACGAGAGAGCAAGGTCGACCAAAAATCCGGTTACTTTTCCGTTGCACAATCCGCAGCGCGCGTTCGCGTTTCACCATGCGAGTGCGACAAGCGATACACACGATGATATACGGCGAGCAATCATGTACGGCGGCTGTTCGAGGCTGAAAACTGTTTACGACATTTAACAGCTCAACTCGCCTCTGTGCGTACATAGGAATAAGCAAATTATATGCGTTGTCGCGCATAAATTCACCGCGGCGTTGACACGCTTTGTTCGCGTAATTAATGAATTTACGCTAAGTTTTCTCATATACGTGCAACACAAAGATAAAATAATAGTTATAATATGGATATATATTACATAAGAAAATGAAAATTTGCAGATAATTATGAAATACGTTGATCGTAAAAGTACACGTACACACACACACAGCGACAATATAATAAACTTCGTCGATCTTACAGAGGTCGTCGGTTTTATTATTATGAAGCTATTAGTTTGCTCCGCTCTTATTAGACTTTCTTTGTTCTGTCGTTTCTTTTGCAATAGCGGGCCGCGTGAAAAATTTCTTTCGCAATTTTCACGGAGATCTAGGATCGGATAGTCTGCTACAGGAAACCGTATGAGCGCCGATAGGATCAAACGCATGTCCGATTCTGCATGTGCGTATGCGCGCGTGTGTGTGTGTGTGTGTGTGTTCGATCGGATAGAAACTTACGAAAGATCAGCTTCGGCGCGAAAAGAAAAGAATTATTTTTCATTCGCGTGAAAATCACGTAATCTTGTTCCAGGATGTCAACGGAACACTCCGAGAAGCGCACGAGCCAGCAGAAATGAGGCGGCCCTGGAATTCGAATGTCCCGAGGAATTCGGATACTACCCTCATCCGCGCGATTGCACGCAGTACTACGTGTGCGTTTTCGGCGGAGCCTTACTGGAGTCCTGCACAGGAGGTCTTATGTACAGGTACACGAGAGATCAGTAAATTCTGCCACAGAAGCAATAAAATTCTGTCCAAATATAATTTGTATTTTACGAAATTGTTGTCTCGAGATTAAATATCGAATAATTTCTATTTTTCGTAACTACTATATATATACGCAACTACTATGTTCGCAATTGTAATTGTGGAAGCGGAACGAGTAAAAACTGCGTCGGAAAAATCGTGAATACAATTTTTCGGCCCGATCGGCTAATGTGGTTACGGTGAAATTAAACGTATAAAAATATGCTGAGGATGCGTTGAATTGAAAGTGCACACGCTTATTGTGGTTGAATAGAAATAGACAACTGAACGCTGGATACGAGACCCATTTCGCGCTCCCAGAGGTTCATTATACGAGATTCGTGAGAGATTTCCGCGTGATGTGAACGGATCCGCGCGAATGGAATCGCACTTTCCCATGTAAATTCGCAATTACGAAAAATTCGACGAATTGCAGAAATTTGACGCGCGTTCGAAATGCGATTCTTTCTTCAAGAGGAAGAAGCAACACGGAAACGCGATGTGTGATTGTTAATTGACGATACGCTAAATATAAAACACGTTGTGTTCCGTCCGTACTTGCACATTGTAGCTCGCCTTGATCAAACTGCACGACGACGAGTATATCGGTGTGTTCGTGTGCGGATACGAGATTCTGGATTTTACTTTCAATCCACCGTCTGGATTTGCGCGGTAAAAGGGGGTCGTATGTGTGCGCGCATAACCCTGGAGGAAAAAAATTCGAACAGCCACACCTCACCCGATACGACTGGGAGCGAACGAGTTCGCTGTCGTTGTATAGCCGGTCGATATAGCCCAAGGTGCTTAATGGTAACGCGATATCCAAGTACGGGTAAAATCAAGACAGCGGCTTTCCGAGGAGCGACGCCAAATGCGGCACTCGATGATAAGCGGAGACAGAATTCTCGGGAAATGCGTTCTCCTCTAGATATCGAGTTGCATAAATCGCTCAACTGTTTGGGTCGCGGACAGTTTTACCACTTAATTACGATCGTTTTGATAAATAGCGCGTCCGAGGAAAAACGAAAGTTTTTCAGACAGTTTGCGAAATTGATAGGATCGTTTGTTTGTTTTCAGCCACGACTTGCAAACGTGCGACTGGCCGCGAAACGTAGGTTGTCCGGAAACGGGTTCGTCCAACAAGGAGGATGAGGAAGATCCCCTGTTGGAAAGGTAAGTAATTGGCTAATAAACAAATCAATTTTAATATCTATAAAACACAATAAAAGTGCACTTTTTTAGAATAACATTTTTTATTAATTTTTTCTCTTTTGATTAAATGTAAAAAAAAAAAATGAAAGTGAGTCACTACAAAGACAGCTAACTCGCTGGCGATGTATTTTCTCCTGCGGATCATCTTTTCGATACGTTTGCATTCGACAAGCACGTGAAAATTATATATTTTAAATATATTGCTGGGTTCTCTATATTATAATAAAACAACGCTATGTTAGTATGTTCACACAGCGGGCGCGAGATTTCGTTTTTGACGCGATTGCAAAACAATGGCCGCTCGGTGCACACACACACACGCGTTCGGGCCTTCACCCACGCTTGCGACAACTCGTCGATGGGAGAAAAAGGCGAGAGTAAGAGTGAAAAGAAAGAGAAATAGCGCGCGGTCGATCGAGGCGGCTGGATCTCGAGACGCGCGAAATAACTCTCAAAGAAAGCTATTAGTTTCGATAGAGCGAGCCCGTGATCGTATTTTCTCGGATGCGCGCCGAATTCAACGCACAATCGCGCTGGCGGCTAGACATAAAAAACAAAGAACAAAAAAAAAAGATATCGGCATTATTACGCATTAGCGAGACATATTGCAGGTACGCTCGAATTAGCTACTTCGTTCCGCCTGTGAATTTTCACGGACTTGCTTTCTTTTTTTTATTATCATTACTCCTCAACATTGGATTGCTGGAACTTTAAAATTTAATTGTTACTTCACGGCGGATAATAAACACCCGTTCAAGGAATCGCGTTATATCTGGATGATTGTCTATTCTGTTATTTCGGAAAATGATACGGTAGAGCTGTTATTTTCGCATTACTTTGCCTTCATTGCGCCGGAACAAATACGTATAAAAATTTCTGAAACTATGCAATATTTGCAAACACATCTTTACAGCTTGCGCTTAAACGCAAATTAATCGACGCAAATAAGGTGTGCAGGTGCGCAAGAAAAGCAACAAACAAGGTAATAATTGAGTGTTTTCTAACAGTTACACGTGTCAGAGAATTACTTTGTTATTCTTGACTTAATATGTAAATAAACACGCGGTAAATCTGTATGTAGCACGCGGAATTACCGCAGATTTGCGCGAGTCTCTATACGCGCGAGTACGTACGAGCGACAGCCAGCACGTTACATAAATCGAAGTTGGGCAACGAGGTACAGCGGCTGGGTATTCATTAAAGTATTGTGTCCGCGCACACGAGTAATCGGAAAAGAGTTGCTCAATTCTGCATTTGATGTATTTCGTTTTGAGTTCCGCGCCACGTCCTTGCCATTTAAAAAGAAAACTCTACGATAATCGACGATATACGTCATCTTTGTCAAGATCTTCAAGAAAGTTTATTTCGCAGTTTCAAAACGCCGGCAAGAGAACAAAAGTAGACGCTTATAATTCTGATCATGCTCCGTTGTCTTCCAGTTGGACGTATGTTGTATCTTACTTATTATCCTCTTTATTTCCTGTACAAATACATCTCATCTCTCAGATAAAGAGAAGATATAAGTGTTTACCTGTTCTTCATACTAAACCGGCAATTCAGTATGCTATCCACGATCATAGTCGCCAGCTGCTCTTTCGATCGAAATCGGATGAAGAAAGTCAAAAAACTTTATGATCGGTTGCCATCCCCGATCGCAATCGCGGACTTCTTCTCCAATCAGACTTTGTCGGCAAAAGAAGAGAGAGATAGAGAAAAGAACGTGGTATTTAATACGTTTTGTCTCAATAGTAACTCTTTGAATATCAATCTTGGAGTTAGGAAGACATGAAAAGTTAGGTTTTACAAAGAAGAGAACCGTGGAGTCTCAGGACGTAACGTCAGTCTGATTTTGTCTTCCGAAGAAATTTTTATTTTGCGCATTTCTCCTTGAACCTGCAGATCCGCAAAACTTGACACGTTGCAAGAACAGCAACAGCAACGACAACAGCAACAGCAGCTACGAGACCAGCAGCAGCAGCAGCAACAGCAACGACCGATCCAGAGACAGCCGATTACGAGCACGTTGCCACCAGTTTCGCAGATTACCGAGAGGCAGCTACGACGACAACACGCCAAAACGAATTATCACGACGACGAATACGGCCCTGCCTCGGAGGTCGAGAGCGATCGGCAGCAACGGGTGTATCGAGGACAGCCCTCGACGATCGGACAGGTGCAGCGCGATCGTGACGGTCTGCGACGAAACATAATATCGGTGAGTTGTAGCGTCGTAATATCTGATTGATCATCATTTTTAAGATCTTCGAACTCTTTCGATTAACACAGGACTGCATTCTTTTCCTGTAACGAATGATTTTTGTTAGGTGCTTAGAAGAAAATATTGTCTTTAGGAAGTTTTATATTTGCATAACATAATCTCTAAAGTACTCATGTACAAATTACGCGGAAATCGTAATAATTAACTCGTGTTACGCGCGCGAGCCAATCGCGATTTCACGGGGCGTTAATAGTTCTTTTAAGCGAGACGGTGTAGAAAGTCCCATCGAACGAAATACACAGATATGTTTATTTAATGTCAGAATAAACTTAATTAATAATGAATACTCAGGTAGAGATACCTGAGTGATCGTTGAGATTGAGATGTTGCGTGTGTTCCAGGAGAGAGAGAAGGAAAGCCTGGTAAACGCGCGCACCCAAGCCGAGTCTCATTACAGGTTTGTAACGAAATCATCTTTAAGAAAAAAACTACTGTTTTTTGTAAAAAACTAATTCTCTTCTCTGGCGATAAGATACAATCTCTTGTTTTTCTCTTCGTTTTTTCTCACATTTTGTGTTCAAAATCAGACGTAGTTTCTTTTGGAACGAAAACCGTAATAAACATCTCACTACTGTTCTTCTCGCTTGTTAGAACGCCCGTTCCAACATCCGAATCGCCAAGGCTGGCTAAAACTCTAGCCTCGACCGTGGCACCAGTTTTGTCCAAGGCTTATTACAGCGATCCCGATCAAAGTTATCCGTATTACACGATTTACGACGACGATGTCTCAATTTACAAAGACGACGGTATGATCTGAACATTGTTCGAAGAAAATTGAAATTTTTGTATATTGTTTAGTTTTTTGTTAAGCTAGTTTTAAATTAATTCCGATAACAACCTTCAATGATGTTGTGCGTGTCATGTTATATATAGATTACAATCAATATACCATCAATCATACAGCACCGGTGCAACAACCGAATGTAAAAATTAGCGAGGTAAACACAAAACAGTACCAGAAGCCAAAGAAAGTTGCCGCGAACGAAGCAGACAAATACAATCTCAATCACGATGTGCAGGATTACGATATCTACGAAAATCAGGTGAATTCAAATTCTATGCATTTTACTTTTTTATTTGCACTCTCGCCTGAAAGAAATAACATTCAGTGTGAACATTTGACAATGTCCTCTCTCTGTTTTTGCGTTTCAGGCTCAGCTCAACAAAAACAAATTCCGCATATCCGACAATCAACAGTTCAGGTAGCAAACCTGCTTTACAATCAATATTTCCTTTCGAAAACAACTTTTATTGTTTTACTAAAATTTTATTATTTTTTTGTATTATATTTTTTCCTTGTTATTAACGCGCGATTTTTGTGTCAAACTTTATCTAATTGTGAGAGGAGAGTTAATGAAATCGATATCAATTGTTAAAATCTGGGACTGTGCGTAACTTTTGCGCGTGTTTCCATTAATTAACTTTACAAATATTTAGAACAAATGTGCTCAGCCATCCTGTTGTTCACGTGACAACGCCAAACGTCATCGTGGACACCTTCATACCTCTGACCACGAGCACGCAAACTCCTAGCACGACCAGCAGACCTTACACCGTCAACGCACCGAGGTATGTTTTATAATATAATAGATATAAGTTGCATTTAATTAAGACGTACTGTCTTAATATAAGATCACACGGAATTGTATAAAACAATATTAAAAAAAAACAATTTCAATATCAGATATATTTACACGCACAAACAAACATAATTGAGATACAAAAAGACCGGTCCTGTGCCGATTTCCGTCGGCCGAGACCTGATTTCGCTCGGCACAACAAAGTCCCTTACACTCATTTACGCGCTTTCTCTGCTATGCAGCAGTAAACGAACATTTTCCTTACACACGCCACCGGAAACGCTCGGATCTTTATCTTACGCTCCAATTTGCTTCTCTCTTCTTTTTTCCAGTCGAGGTCGACCGCAGCAGATCAATCGAGGCACAGCACCGCCGTAAGTTCATTGTCATGTTCTTCGAACAAGAATGAGGCGGTTTATAAATGTGATTTATGCAAATATCATTTTGAACATTAAGCTTTGTTTAAATGCAAATATTGGACTTTGGTAGCATTTTGTCGATTTAAAGATGTTTCTCTTTAACGTCGTCGACTTATTCTTCCAGACGATTGCGACCTACCTTAAAACCGTCAACCGAGATAGTTTCAAAAGCGCAGGAGTTCGTCGACATCTACAGATATCCTCCGGCGAGGCCGGCGCCGATTTATCCGACTCCTCAAGTGGATAAACCGGCGGCTAAGTGTCGTAAGGATGTTTGTTTGCTTCCGGATTGCAGTTGCGGCGGGTCCGACATCCCAGGTAATTTAACGATACTTGAAAATACGAAAAATAACTCATTTTACTTCCGAAAATATTGATTAATTTCGATTAGCTGAGTAATATCTCAATTTAGATCGTGGAATTATTTTTACTTCTTCCTCTCGATTCCGATAGACAACGCGTATATTGTAGCTGTGATTACAGAGCGGATTAATTAGCCGTGAAAATTTCAAGATTCTTAACAGATGCTATATAGGATCAGTATGAGATTATTTACTGGCTACTTTTAGACCGGAAATGACGTTCTGCGAGCTAGAAAACGCGCAAGACGGAAAGCGTCGTATTTCGCGTGCCGGAAGTTTAAATGCTTGCCAGTTGAATGTAAATAAGGAAGTAGGCCACTCGTGCAGGAAGACCGATCCTTCGGTTGAAAGTTACCGAATTTCGTTTTTCATTCACCAATCGGGAAGTCGATTCTTCCTGGGCGATGATGAGACACGCTAGATAAGCGAATCACTTTGGTGCGGCAAAATGTCAGGTGAAAAATCTACGAGAATGACGCAAACGCCGTCGCGCGTCGCGAATGTTAAGTTTGACGAACGGTAGACGCAGACGCGGTCTCTCCTCGCCGTGACTTTCTCCGATTCTCTAATGTTACACACAGACCGTTACGTGCGAAAGTGAAACAGATCTACTCCCGATATGTTTTTAGCGTCGCCCGTCGAAATTGAGAGCGATTTGCACTTGCAAATAATGCCTCACCACATACTCGAACGTGGAATTATCTCAAAGACGCGCGTTAAAAAATGTTTTAACATTAGTAGTTTTGTAATTAATAGCAAACCGAGATAGAAAGTGGATACTCTCGAGTGTACGATTACTTTAACAAACTTATTGTTTTAATTTAAGTTTTATGACAAAGATGCAGTTTTTAGTAAAGCAATGGGGAGATTTTAATTTACAAAATAACGAATTTACGAGCTAATTAACGATAATGAATTTTAATTTACAAATATTAAACACACCGTACGTACAAATAGAAACTTAAAAAACTTTCATCTGTATCGGTCGATTTCCGTGTGACAAGCTATACGATGCAACTGTGACAGGTGGTATTCCGATTGATCAGACGCCGCAGATTGTCCTGCTCACTTTTGACGATGCCGTAAACGACCTTAACAAACCCCTGTACAGCGATCTGTTTGAAAACAATCGTAAGAATCCGAACGGCTGTCCGATCTCGGCGACTTTTTACGTCTCACACGAGTGGACGGACTATAGCCAGGTGCAAAATCTTTACGCGGACGGTCACGAAATGGCGTCTCACACAGTTTCGTAAGTCGATCACGATGGCACGAGCAAGCAAGTTCATTAACACCGGGGACATCGCATATACCATCGCGCTATTTTAACCAAACTGGAACTCGCATCGAACGTCATTTATCGTCTTCTTATTGTTTTTGCGTGTGTGCGCTTATAATATTCGATTTTCACCGCCGCTTAAACACTCGACCGCCTTTTTCAAGAGCGCGTCGAACGAAGCCTGAGTTAGGGCTTATCGGACGAGTTTTGTGAGGAATCTTTCAATTTCGATCGATTAAACTCTTCGACGCGTTTTTTAATTTATCTCGGAAGGTTTGGTTTTTAATTTTAAAAAAATTTCTATATTTTTAAAAATTGTGTTAGATACGTTTAACAAGTTTTTTGTCTCTCAACTTTCGAAAGTTAATTACAAATTGCTCGAATAATATTTGGATCCGCTACGTTTGAAGTGTACGATATATATTCGAATGATTGTAATTAAAGGATTCTCTCCGTGATGACAAAAACGCGAACGGTCGCGTACACACCCGGTGAAATCACGAGTGTAGTATCTTTTCTTCATCAAATAAGAGATGGGTGATCTTCTGATAGTAACACTTTGTAAGCCGTGGTTTCACCTGGTACGTACGACACCTGCGCTGTGTGCTAATGACGCGTGTACTAACTCTTTTCTTGTTCTTTCCTTTTCTCTCTCGTTCTTCTCTCTCTCTCTCTCTCTCTTTTTCTTTACGCCTTGTCGTGCTCCTCATTCCCATTACGTGCCACTCTAACTAAACATTCTCACATAAACGTCACATAAAACGTTATATGAAAAAAAAAAAATCAACGTCGCTCACATTTGCAAAAAAAATACACAACACACATTGTGTCCCGATTCTTCCGCGCTCTCGATCCCCTCTCCCCGTCTCCTCATCCTGAATGCGATCCTGATGAAAACGAACTAGGTGACTATCTCCCGGAGGAAATACCGCAAATCGTTCTTCTGACCTTCGACGATTCCGTGAACGATCTGAACAAGGGTCTCTACACCGATCTGTTCGAGAAGGGACGAAAGAATCCCAATGGCTGTCCCATCTCGGCCACCTTCTATGTATCTCACGAGTGGACCGACTACAGCCAGGTGCAAAATCTCTACGCTTCGGGCCACGAGATTGCCTCCCACACGGTCTCGTAAGTAATCGAAATCGTCATACAAGCGATCTGTGTGTCGATCTGTAAAACACCGTCAACGTTGTATAAAACAAATCTGTTGTCAGAATTGCTACGCGATTTGAAAGAAATCACGTTCATTAAACGATCATTCATACGTCACAGTCGCACTAATATCACCAGAAAGGTGCAAATTAATTCCAATCATTAAAGCTGGCTGTTGTCTTCTTTTTATATGAGCTTGCGATGTTAAAACTAACGGTAGCTTGAGACTCGCTGTTGAAGGAATTAACAATAGTCATATACGATAACGATAAATCGCTTGTCAAAGCTCGATTGATTATTCGCGCTGTGAAAGTTCGTAAACTCGAACGACTAACAAGACGATGAATTCTCACAAATAACAGGCACAGTTTCGGTGAGCAATTTTCGGCGCGAAAATGGGCGCGAGAAGTGGCTGGGCAGCGTGAAATTCTGGCGGCCTACGGGGGCGTCAAACTGGAGGACGTCAGAGGAATGAGGGCTCCCTTCTTGTCGGTAATAAAAAATACTCTTCTTATTGTTCTCTTATTATTGTAAAAAAATAGCGTCTCTCCCTCGATGTACAGATAACATTAACAGAAAATAATTCGCGTTTTCCGATTACACAAAAAAATATATAAATAATGTGTATGTTTAAATGAAAAAATGTCCTTTTTTTGTACATAACATTTTTCCATTAACTATGAAACATCGCCACGTAAAACATCGACGATCTTTATATCGTTTATACAGGTCGGAGGAAATAATATGTTCAAAATGCTTTGGGACACGAACTTCACGTACGATTCTTCAATGCCCATCTATGAGAACCGACCGCCCAGCTGGCCGTACACGTTGGATTACAAACTCTTTCACGACTGCATGATACCACCCTGTCCCACGAGATCCTATCCAGGATTGTGGGAAGTTCCTATGGTAATGTGGCAAGATCTCAATGGAGGTAGGTGCTCCATGGGAGATGCCTGTAGTAACCCACCGACTCCGGACGGCGTATACAAGATGCTCATTAAGAACTTCGAGAGGCATTATACGACCAACAGGTATAGCGAAGTAGCCTGCGAATTGTCATGAAGAACAATCGAGAGAGATCACACGTAATCATTAGAATCAATTTCTCTGCCCGATATTCTAAGTTCTTTTCATGCATATTTATGCGTTACTGAAACAAATTAGTTTATTACTTATTGTTGCTTTTTTTATTCTCCACACTTGGCAGAAACTTAGTTTTTTTGTAATAATTTGAAATTATTCGAGCGTTTGTTAAAATTTTATCGTACATAAAATTCATAAACATTTAGATTTTTTTTGGAGAAAATTATTTGTTTTAAAAACTCTATTCTGAATTGAACAGGAGATTTTTATTGCAATTTTTCTCGAAATAGAGCACCTTTCGGCTTGTTCTATCATGCCGCGTGGTTCACTCAGCCGCATCATAAGGAAGGCTTTATTTCGTTCCTCGACACCATCGTCGCGATGGACGACGTATGGATAATCACCAATTGGCAAGCCATAGAGTGGATCAGGAATCCAACGCCTCTGTCACTTCTGCACACGTTTGAACCTTTTGGATGCCATTATCCGGTACAAGTTTTGTCTTAATAATAGTACCACATTAACATTGATTAAAAAGACAGTACTTTTTTATGTGCGTAACGATCGTGACAATCAAAGAATTTTACTCAATCGCGACGTTCGTGCGCAGGATCGACCTAAAAAGTGCAACAACCCGAAGGTCTGCAATCTCTGGCACAAGAGTGGCGTAAGGTACATGAAGACCTGCCAAGCATGCCCGGACATTTATCCCTGGACAGGCAAGACCGGTATTCGCAGTAGTCGCATTGACAACGAGATCGACGCCCACGAATGAGCTACGGCAGTAAAAAAAAAAAAAGCTTCGATCTTCGTTGCGGTCGGGAAGAATCCCGTCGAACGAACACGAAGCGGACCCGGACAACACGAACGTTTGAAAGATGCAATCGGAAGAAGTCTGAGAAAGGTCTCAATCATTCGGATGTTTCGTGGAAATCGTCTCACACGTTTCGAAGATGTTTTAATCTCTCGCGAGAAAGTTGATCGGGCATAGATGTTTCAAAGAAACATCCGAATTTTTTGCCTCTTAGACGGCGCCTCATCTAAACGTATTTTTATTTGCATATATTTTTCAAACACGTCTTTTGGACTTTCGCGTTGTTCGGTATGTAGTAGCGAGGATAAACACTCTTCTGTTCGGGCAAGTAATTTCAAGTATTACGCGTGCGTGTCCAGCACGTTCGGGCCGATTACGCCGATGTAAGTTTAACGTTTCGAAGAGAATCGATTGGATAGCAATGCAAAAAAATATTCGGCGTATAAAGGACGATTTTATTAGACGATTTGCCGCTAGATAATTAATCGATGTGGGAATCGAAGTGACACGAAAGAAAAAAAACAGAACGTGTAATATCAAAACTTTCAAATATATAATTTATGATTAAATCGCGACAAAAGATCGTGCATGCGAAATCGCATAGAAAATATTTAAGATAATTTTGTATGTTTTTGTATTCTCCCCTCATTCTTTTCTCTTTACTTTTTTCCCCTCTTTTTCTATTTCACTTTCTACTCATCTTACTTTCTCAAAATCATAAAAATCCTTGGCGTACTCGGCCAAAAATTCGGCTAAATAGTGCAATTGATTAAATCGTAATAATTAATCTCTCTGTCTCGTCGAGATGTGAGAGTCGGTCGCCGGAGACACTCGTATTTAAGCGTGATAATCGCATCGCGATTCTAGATTTATTATGCGCGGAGATTACATTGCGGAAAGAAAACAAGAATTTCGCCTATGACGATGCATCATGCGCGCAAAAGGGATCGTCTTGTTTATTTCTAGGACGTAAAATTGTAATATGCCTTTAATAAATAAATATTTCGCTACAATATCTATTTTTTCTTTTCTTAGTCTGAACGCAATTAATGTAATTGTGAATTGCTACGAATTTATACATATATAACACGTATAAAAACATAGCGATAACATTTATGCTGAATTAAAATTACGTCTTTCGTCGTGCAATCTGTTATATATGCGAATCAGGTGTCGGTAAAGGATAAAGAATAGTGGACCAAGTTTCGATGCTAAAAGTCCGAATGTGTTGCCAGGCCACAAAATCTGTCGATCCGGCGTACTCCAACCAGTACCGCGCCATGTTGTTGTAAACATTCTCTTTCCACGTCTGCGAGAGAGATTTATACAAAACTTCAAAATTAGAAGTTTAGTTGAGAATTATTTGCTGGTAAATTAAAAATTACCCTTGTATTCTGCATGATCCACGCCTGTATCAGTCTGTTTCCCTGAGAGGTCGCGAATTTCTGCGCTTTGCGCAAATAAAATCGCGTGCTCGATTTGCGACCCCGAAGAACATTCAGATACGCCAGCAACAAATATAAACGCGGCTTTATGATCAACGCGTGATTAGCGATATATTTTAGGAACTTAATTAGTTTGCGAATATCTTGCAACCGATCGTGCAGTTCATTAGAATGCTTCGTGTTGATGCAGCGCAGTAGTAACATCAAGTAGCACTCGAGTCCCTACGTGACGTTTACAAAGTCGATTAAAGCGTGACGTTGAAAAAATTACTAGAATTTTAATTTATATATGATAAATAAAAAACGCGCGCGGTGAAAATGTTATTTATTACCTTGATGCAACAAACGATTCTCGAAAAATCATGACAAGTGACATCCTTTATATATTCGTCCGCGCTGTACATAACCACGTGGAGAATCGTATATCCCCTACACATTGTCACACCATCTCTTAATTAGCAACTGAGATATAGTGTCTTATTTATCTTTAGTTGTATCGCGCGCGAATACTCACATTCTAAGTTGGTACATCCACAAGCACGTCAGTAAGCGATATAGACTTTGCGGGTCGCGCCACACGCAAGTTATCGATTTGTGAGCTACGTAAATCATTTTGTTTTCATTCAAGTGCATTTACATACATATACAGCATGTATAGACACACACATTTAAGAATTCATAAATAATTACTTATGAACTCTGAGAGTTTTGTGTAAATTGCATTTTTACCTAAAAACTCTTTGTAATAGTTGTAAGATTTCTCATAAGTTTCGAGTACTATTCCCGCGTCGAGTGTAAGTTCCAAAGAAAGTGCGTAATACCAGGTTTTGGCTGAAAGATCCACGTCGTCTTCGGCTAAAAAGTACAGCTCTCGCATCAAGTCGACGGCTTCGGTAATATGCTGAGTCCATAGCTAATTAAATCGTTGAGGAGAAAGAATTTTTGTTATGATGCAAAGTATATTTTCATTATACGGGATGCGTGCAAAAAGGATTTGTGAATAAATGAATTTTTAAAAATACCATTATTTGAATTAACGACGGCACAAAAGTCAATATCAACGCATTAAGATGCAGTGCTTCAGAAATTTTCCAGACTTTGATACCTATATCTATAGCTTCTTGCAATTTACCACTTAACGCTCTGCTCTCGTGTGTGAAAATTAAATTAATTTGACGTATACATTATTTGCCACTCTATCTTCCGTATAAGATTTTAGAAACATTTAATTGTATACCTGATTTGAAACATCATTAGATAGATATTAGCCATCATCGTTACTTCTTCGGGATTGTTCCACGTAGTTTTTGCGTCTATTACATTTACTAGCGGTCTCTCGATGTACCGTACTATCTCGAAATTTCTTGAATGAAGTAAAACTTGAACTGTCGCGAGATACACCTCGCCTTTCTCTAGGAAACTGCCGACACTTAAAAACGCGAGCTTGAAACTTCGCAAGACGAGCCACTGCGCCATCTTCCATCTATCTTCCGTCTAAAAAATATATAATTATGCAAAAAACTAAAATAAAAATAATAAATAACAAATTGTCACATTTTTATTGCATATATTTTTTTATTTAATACGAAACCGATACTTTATGGCAAGTTTTTCTTGTCTTTTTAAACACGAAATGTCTCTTACTAAAAAAAACTGGATATATTTAAAATCAAATCCACGTACTGCAAATACAATGGAAAGACGTCGCAAATATGACGCCAACTCCAAGTTCAATACAGCGGGTCGTCCTGTTACTTTAACCGGACGACAGAGAGTATGTTCTTCTGTACAATATAATCTGGATACTATGGTGTAGCAGACGGCTTTCAACATTTTAGGTCTCACATCCCGCAATTTTACCGCTGCTGTATAGTATTTCTCAGCCTGAGCGTAATTCCCCAACGCACTGTATGCGTCACCTGAATAACAGTTGGTTTTTCGCAAAACACTCGCAATTTGTAGAAGCAGATGATAAATAATCTGCAAATATTCGCGCAAACCAGTTAAAGCCAGTATAATTCCTTTCTTCGTGATGTGATCTTCCGCGTTGTCATTCGCTTTGCTTATTTCAACTCCATTTTTTTCGTCGGCAATCGAAAGCAGCTTAACAGCGTAAAGCGGTTGGGCAGTTTGAATCAGACCGGCGCTGTATTCCAGAATAATGTCGAGTATTTTATGAATTTCTCCTAAAGTAAATCGCATTATTTACAATAGCGTCAATTTACGGCATTTTCTTTACAACACAGAGCTGATATGTAAAACAAAACAATTTACATATCAGCACAATTGTATAACATTACCACTTTTTTCGATGTGGCGATACAACTCCCAAAAAAGAAAGGTGATGATACTGTCGCATTGACAATTACGGTAATCGATATAAGTAAAGTCCTCGAGATAGCTTGGATGAAAAGTTTCTTCCGTTATTTCCGGAGCAATACCGCTAGGACGTTTCCAAAACTTGGTCAACCCACGTTTCGATTTTTTCACATCTTTTTGACGTATTAAGTCTACAAAATAACATCTAACGATCGTATCCGAACTACATATCGAGATATACGAGTAAATATGAATTATTGATCACACACTTGTTTCGTCATCGTCAAGGGATGACGGCAGAATAGACATTCTGCGAACAGACACTTTTCTTGTCACTTTCGGAGCAGTTAATTTTCCTCTTGCAGGACGTATACTATGTTTTCTCTTTGATTCGTCATTTAGCGTAAGTTTTCTTTCTCTGCCATAAGTCACTGATTCTTTGGCCTATTTACAACAATATAACAAATATTCACCAATTTTTTCCATTGAGCATTTCATGACCAACAGAATCGATTATGAAACAGTTTTAATTATACGAGCATGTATGTTTTTTTTTTCTTACTTCCATAAGTACGTCTTTGATAGGAACTCTTAGAAAATTTGTGCTGCCGCAAGTATAACATTTTCGAGCGTCCTGGATATACAGCCTAGCCGCTCTCGCGTGATGCTCTCGCTTTTTCTCATCCGTTTGTATATCGTACATCACCTTGCGAAATGAACCGATTTTAAATTCCAATATGTTGCAATCGCCGAGTGTGTCGTTTTCGCCTCGTTCTAAACAAATATATAACAATGTAAAAACCACTTGGCAAACGAACAAAGAAAGAAATCACTAACGTGACTGGTGGCAGTAACAAGTTACTAAGTGATGCATATCGGAGAATGTTCTCCGCTTCTTATGTATGCAGAAAACGAGAGCTTTGCTTTCCTTGAAATCGCGTCGCTGCAGCGCGGCGCACTCCAATAGTCGTATTCGAATCATCTGGGAAATGGCTGAAAGACATTTTGTTTTTTACACGAAGTTTAATCCTATATAAAAAAGTCCATGTGATATCGAATGTGTCGTATACGTGGAGAAAATTAAAAACGTGAATAAAGTCACATGACAGGAAAGAGTAGAAAAACAACACGTGATTAAGGTAATGTGACTGTAATGTATATTATACATAACATAAAATAATATATATGATATAAATAATATATTAAATAATATATATTATACATATAATTTATTATATATTTATAATGTTATACTTTATATTATATATTATATATATTATATACATACTACCGTAAGGTCACTGACCTCGGTCGCGTGACCGCGGCGGGGTCACTGACCTCGGTCGCGTGACCGCGGCAGGGTCAATGACCTCGGCCGCGCGGCCTTGGCGGGGCACTGACCTCGGCCGCGCGGCCTTGGTGGGGGGAGGGGTCNGCACTGACCTCGGCCGCGCGGCCTTGGTGGGGGGAGGGGTCACTGACCGCGGGCGCGCGACCGCGGCGGGTCAATGACCTCGGTCGCGCGACTGCGGTGGAGTCACTGACCTCGGCCGCGCTACCGCGGCGGTGTTACTGACTTCGGTCACGTGATTACGGTATATATATATATATACACACATATATGCGTATGTGTGTGTATTATATATAGATATTATTACATATAATATATATAATATTCTCTTTTTTACTCTCCTTTTCCCTGTCAGGTGACTTTAGTCACGTGTTGTTTTTCCACTTCTCTCTCTCACTATTTTTTGAGTTTGATTTTCATGCGTTATTTCTGACATTTCTCATATGTGTATTATATGGTTTATAAGACGTATATACTATCTGTCATCGCGGTGACAGGTTGTGTTCACTGACAACACGTTAAATAAAAATAACAATAGCGCGCGCCTGTGTTGTGCTAGTAAAAAAAAAACGATAACATATTTCAGAAACAGTGCTCGCCTTTAGTGGTGTATGGCAAAATTGCGTTTGGCATTACATTTTGCAGCGCGTTTTGTTTAAACACTTGGCCTAGCGTAGCGGCGCAAGTGATAAAACTTTGCTCGTAAGGATTCATGCTGTCGAAGATCTCGATCATCAATTCTACACACGGAGAAAGTTCTCGATGAATTAAAGATTGAGCAAAACGTTAATGTCACATAATGTTTTTTTTTTTACAATAACAAGTAAAATGTAGAGAGGGTTAAAAACGTTATAAGATTTGCCTGTTATGTTACGATTTAGATTATTTTTGGAGATCTCGAAAAAATCTTCAGTTATAACACAAATGTCCACGTAATCCATTTGCGACCAAGATGGGGGCACAAATTCTTCCGGTGTCATATCGACCGGCAGTTTCGTTATTAACGAAGCGTTCGGAAAAACGAGATCGTAGCGTTTGACATCTTTAGGCAATATTTTCACGAAGTTCAAACCGTTATTCTGAAGAACTAACGTCAGAAATGTCTCGCACCATCTAATATTGCACTCTTTCCGGTATGTTTGTAAAACCCTAAACGCATTAAATAAATATTTAAATAATTTGTACACCAGTTAAATAACTGAAAACAGCTTTACGTAACGTTGCATCTAATCGTTGTCCTGTTAAATAAATTTCGAAGTTATCTCTCTGTACGAAATTAAACTAAACTACCTGTTCAACTTTCTGGATATCGCAAAAACGTTCAGATACTGACATGCGAGCGCCGGAAGCAGATCCATATCCAGATCGTTTATCGTACGTTTCATCAGCCTTTTGTCCTTGCCGATGTTCACCCCTACGTGAGACAACTCTTTCCAAGAGTTTTGCTTCGATATCGTCATTGCCATCACGACGTTATCGTGATCAAGAGCCGTTGACAAAAAGTGCCACGAAGTGTCGTCTATGTATTGAATATCGTCCAGCAAAATGCACACTTTTATTTTCAGCTAAATGATGAATTACAATTTTTATTAATAACCCGCGACAACGTTTATTCGATATGCAAAAATGAAAAACTCAATGCCACCTGCTTTAATATTATTTCGAAGATACTAATAGCTTTCGCGCGACGTTCCCGATCAGTATCCGAGCAATAAGTGTCGGAAAGCGAAAATCGAACTCTCATTAAACTATTGAGATAGCAAAAATCTTTTAAAGTGAGAACATCACCCAATGCAATGAGCAACACTTTTTCGCGGTCCTCGATCGTGTCGCAATCCTCGGCATCGAGTAACTGCACAATAAACGGAGTATTGAAATTAAAGCTATTTATTTTTTTTTACCGAAAACAGTAGGACGTAAAAATTGTAAATGCGCGACAGTATGCCTTGAGAATAATATGATATATAACTGCATACTCCTTGTCCGCATACGTCACGTGAAGAGAAAGCGTAATAGGTATTATCTGTCTGTTAAGAACGTTGCTAACGAAAGCGTCCAAAAGTCTCGATTTTCCTGACCTCTCGCCACCCTGTAAACGGACAATCCGTCGATTTTATAACGTCAAAAATATTGTGTAACAGTAGTACTACAATTTCTTATTTCGAAAAAAAATCATTTAAATCACACCTCGATCACCAATCCCGCGTAAGTCCGACCCGCAACTCCGATTTCGTCCAAAATGTCATCGAAACACGCCACTTCGTTCGTTCTGCCCAAAATGGGATAGCAATAGTCCAAAGATGAGGTCGCATCCAAATCTTTCCTTATTCTGTACAAACAGTATGTTACTTAATTGCAAAACTATTTTTTAAATTGAAATTCAATAAAATAATTTCATCGTAATTAATCAAATTTGTCCGGATGAATATTGTACAATTTCTCACAACGTATCGCCCATATATTCGTAGACATGGCATTTCTCCTTTTTCCCTAACGTTCTGATACCGCGAGAACGAAATTTGTCCTTGCTCAAGCGACTGTTCATTACGGTATTGTAGTCGCACGAAACCTACAAAAAAGTATAATAATTCAAGTAAAAAAAAAGTCAGCGTTTTTTAATAATACAATCGGCTGTTCGATCACCTTGTTGTACGAAATGTCCATTATGTGTACAGCTTTGTTAATGGGCGGCCCGACGATGGCGTAGGTCTTTCTAGCGTGTCCGATCACGCCGCAGTAAGCCATTCCTGAAAGTACATTTATAACGTAAATACGGACTCGTAAATGCATGACTTGTTTTTTGTACAAGACCTGTCGAAACGCCGATGAATGTAGCTCGAATATCATCAATGTCTCTCATTTTTTGCAGTATTTGCATCGCGCATGTAATTCCGTTTTTGCAACTATCCCCGTGTTTAAATTCAATCTCGTCGTAATATTCACGTAATCCGAATACAATGCAAAAAAAGATGTTTCTCTCGTACAGATTTGCCATGTTAATACAACCCGCGTATTGCGTAACTATGCTAAACAAATGGTGCGACAAATTTATTTTCTTTTCTTGTTGAGAAATGTATATAAAAAAAGTTATGTTCCGTCTTTGACGTGTAAATATTGTCAAGTTTAACAAAATTAAAAAACGGTTTTTTTAATTTTTCACAAGTCAGCATTTACAAATACCTGAGCAAAAGAAGAAAGCACTTATCAACCAAATGTATTAGTTCGTTGATTGACAGTCGCTTGGGAATAATATCGACGGATACTACAGTGAGTCGTCTCAATTCCGCTAAAAATTTCAGCGGTTTACCCTTTTCAATCTGTACGAAAAGCATTGATAGAGTGTACTTATATCATTTGAAAAAGTTCAACTGCGTATTCTTTTTTTTTTTTACATTAATACTTTTACGCTAACACAAGTTTGCGATAATTTTTTATAATCAAGTGGGAAATTATTTTTACAACAATAAAAAAAAAGACTTTAAACACCGTGTTTAGAATTATGAGCTAAGTATAATAGCGATACCTGATGGAGTACCGGCTTTATCGAATAGCTTCGTAAATGTAAGTCAAAATACGAGTCTACTGCAATTATCCTGGTGATTGCTGGTGAAAAAAAAAACGCCTTTCTTTATATTTATTTATGTATAAATTTGAGAGAATGCAACGTGAAATGATATTTGCATATTTTACCCGTAGGAACTTCTTCTTCTTCATCATCTTCCTCTTCTTCTTCTTCTTTTTCTTCCTCGTGTTCGTGTTCAATTATTTTCGTAGTCGGACCACCGGGTAACGAAAATCTCACGGTGACTGATTCGGGTATATCGGGTAGGGTTATGTCTATCTTTTCTTTGATTCTGAGTACCTGGAAAAATAGAAAACCCCGTTTTTTTTTATTTGCGCGTCAAATATTAATTGCTCATGGAGCACATTAACTCGCTAATTAATCAAGGCAGTTACTTTAAATGTTTCTAGAATAAAAAAAAAGAGCAGGAAAAATCTCGTTATTTTTTATAAAATCATATACCTTGACGTTATATGCGTCTTTGATGACATAATCGTATTGACTTGGCGTACAATGCTGCCACGCGCTCAATGATATTAACAAATCGTGTGGCGAAGAAATTTTTTTGCCATGCTTTAACTCCTCGATTGCCGTACCAAAAATCACAAAATGTCGAGCTTTGTCATCGCCAATCACCGAGAATGTTACATCCCCAACCGCAATTATTATGTTTACTATTAAGAAATTTGTGTCGATAAAAAACAAAGATAATTTAAATAAAATTTATTTAATAACTTGAAAAATAAAGTCTATTACAAATACCTTTATAAGTTTCGCCATTTTTGAAGGATGCAATATTTTTTTGCAGTTTCAGCGCATTTGCAATTACACCTTGCATTTTATGAAATATAAGTTCGTCCTCGCTTATCTTCCACATTGCGAGAATTCCCTCGGCTGTATTTTTAATATTTTATATATTTTTAATTAGTAAAGAAAATCTTCGTATGCGGAATTATTATTTTTTGTTTTTACCTATTGCTCGAAAGTTTATTAATTTTTAAACAACTTCTAAAGTCAGAACAGTCATTCTAAAGCACAATTCTCTATGTCTCGTCATAATACAAATACTCTTACCAGAAAATTTCAGTAAATCTCCTTTAGTGGTGTATATTGCGTGGGACATGGTGTGGATGTAATTATATAACATTTTAGTTAAGACCAGACTGCCACCGTTTTTATCGTAACTGTACTTTTTAAACAACATTGCAAAGCTCGCTGTTACATTAATTATACACAAGTTTACAAGAGCTATAGCTTCGTCCGTCTCATAACAAAGAGACTTTTAATTTAAATCGCTATTATAAAAATTACACTAACTGACTTGATATGTTCAGAAGCATTAAAACAGCCGGATAGGTTTGAAAACTTTTTGCCGACAGATCTCCCGCATATACTATCTGATCAGGAACAAAAGTTGCCATGTAATGAATCTGTTTATCCAATGTGCGCGTGTTCATTGCCTGAAAGTAAATTGAAAAATTGCTTCGATCGTAAAGCAAAATTCGTATTATTTATGCGTAAATGTCTTTACTTAAAAAAAGTATATCTTACGATTGTAAATAATTCAGATCTAACCTTTTGTAACGTCACGCTTTCTTTCGTAATAGTTGGACCGAACAAATCCGGCAACCAAGCCGGTCGAGTGCGCACCGAATTAGATATCATTGCTCAATTCGTTTAAAAAAAAAAAATATCACATACATGTAACTATTGCAATAAAGACAATATTACTATTCTCTTTTTCTTTATACGACTCTTCATTGAAGAAAGGTTCAAATCTGTTTTCTTTTACGCAGTCGCGAAAGTTTTCAATTTACTTCCAAACGATATTCAGGTTGAAAAATTTATTTTTTCTCATTTCGTTTAGCTGAAATATCCGTTGGTCTACTCTTCCGTAAAGTTTACTTATTATTATTATTATATTTTTGCAAAAAATTGTCGCAACTTTGTATAACAAAAAGATATTAATAAATCAGAGTATAGAAAATTATATACAAGTAGATTAGATTATATGTGTAAGTTTTAGAGAGAGATTCAGATTACAAGATTATTTAATATGTTTAGTAATTCAAACATTTGATCAATAAGAATAAGAAAGAGAGTAAAAAGAATGTATGGGTAGTTTATAAAATAAACACACTCTGTAATATATGTGACACAGTATATATGAAATATATCTTTGGATACACACAATTCAAATACAAGATATAAGACAAATATCTGAAACTTTTTAGGAACTTTTTATGTGTTATATCTAATCCTTTATGTGCAATGTATATGTCGTAGAAATCGTATAATGGTTTTTTAATTATCAAAATAACTTTTCATTAAATGTATGTGTACTAGTTACGGTCATATTGAAACGTCACAGTTTAAAACGAGAAAAGAAATATGAATTTTTGTTATGCAAATTACATCAGAATAAACTAGTTTTTTTTTTTTTTCAAATGTCATCCGTCGACGGCACAGATTGATTTCAAATATACGCTGAAAACTCCATCTTTTCGCTCTTTATAGATTAATAAATATCTGTAAATTTCGGTCAAATACATACGTAGATTGAAGCATTTATTAATGCAAAATAACAAAGAAAGAAGTTTTCGGCGCATGACAAAAGTTCATATCAAATTATAAGATATTTCTCGCTTCTCTAACGTCATAATTCAATATGGCTGTAACAAAAAACAATATTCGAAAACCTTAATTTTATTTATATATAAACGCAAAATTCAAAACGTACTTATCTGTTTTTAAAACGAAACTGAAACATAAATTCTTGATTACTGACACTTTTATGATATTCTTATAATCTATTATGCATCCTCTTTATATATGTACATATCTATGTGTATTACGTTAATGTAATTTATGTTATATAGATAATTATTATTATATATAGTGCAATATAATACATATATATAAGTAAATTATATAACACATTATAGTAACATAATACACATGTATAGACATATGTGTGACACACGTATCATATATATTATATTTTGATTTGAAATGTCAATTATATATATGTGTATATATATATATGTATTTGCAGTAATTCAGCGATTAGCATAAATATGTCGTGGTAATCTTTTCACAACCGTTTCAACGTAAACTTAAATTGCTATTATTTATTAAAGTCTTCTTATTCTATATATTGTTCACAGAACAAGATAAAGCATAAAAATTCTCGATTCAGAAAAATACGATAATTATCTATAATTATCTTAATTTATAATTATCCAATGAAAAATATATAGAAAGATGACAGAAAGAGCAACAAAACAAAAAGCTTTCAATTTTCACTTGTTAAGTTAAGCCAGAAACTGAAATCATTTATTACACACAATGCTCGAAATAATCTACAATAATAATTATTGAAGCTCGCACACCTGGCTCGTTTTGTTGAACTGAGCAAGTGATATTCGCTTCTGCAATTATTTTTTTAAGTAGAACTTCGCGCGTGACAAACAAATAGACGCGTGAACTTCAAACTTGAGTGGATTATGTTGAGCATTAAACTAAATATCAATAAATATAAAATTAATTAATTTACATTATTTTATTTATGAAATTGATGAATACTGACTACGTCACCTATCCGTTATAATTACATCCGACATAAGTACACATCATAATAGATATTGTTTTCTTTGGTCTATTTTAAGTCTTTGATTTAGTAACATTCTGTAAACATATTTTGACATTTTATGCATCAATGAGGTTTTTGACGAGAAAAACCTTATTACGAATGTCGAATTTGTGTCGAACACAATGTATATATATATATGTGTGTGTGTGCGTGTATAACATGTGTATATATATATTAATTTGTCTTGTATATGACTAGAAAGAAAATAAATACAAATCTCATCAATGCGGCCTACTGCCAATATGTTTGAAAAAACATACAAAATTAAGATATTCCTCACGACATTTATGGCACTGTAACGGATTCGTTTTATCATGATAGCCCATGTGTTCGTCGTACATGATCGAATTACGAAATGTGAGCTCGCAATAATTGCACATGTATGTCTGTGAGTATAAAGTTTTACAACTTTTCGTCGCATTTTCGGGAACATTAATTACGTTAGCGGAATTGTCGTTCGTGATATTCCTTGATCCCATTTCCGGGTGTTCGTTAATTTTAATTACGTCCCTTGTGCTTATTGTGCAATCCTCCTGGTTTTTCTTCTCGAGCGCACTGGTCATCGGGAATACGGGAATTTCCGCTTCGTACGACCGTGTACGTTTTTGTTTAACACTTTTGTTTAGTTCCTCCATCTCCTCCGATTCCGTCCTCTTTCGTGTATCCTTCCGTGTCTTAACGTTAGTGAGTAAGCTCGTAACTACTGGTCGAGTTTGCAACTGAGTTGATTCGTCCCAAATCGTCTTACGTACGCTGAGATTGTATGGCTCGTCTACGTCTTTCGTATGTGTATTAAAATCTATGAGATCTACTTGTCTATTTATATCGTCTACACATTTATCATCCGGTACTTCTTCCGGAGATTTTGGCATTATCGAGTATATCTCGGCAATGTGTTCGTTGTCGAAGCTGTCGGTTTTGTTGTCAGACTTATTAGTCGAAATTTCCTGATTGCATTCCGACGAATATCCCGTAACCGTGGCGTTCTTCATATTACTACGCAACAGAATCTGCGCTTTGTCCAAAAATTTTGATATCATCGAACATTTCTCGACGTCCCTTTCGGCGACATCTCTTTCAACGACATCTCTTTTGTCAAAGCTATCGGCATCCTTGCTAGAATCGTTCGCGATATCCCGAACGGATCCCGACGAATATCCGGTATTTATGATATTTCCGCTATTGTACAATAGCGCATAAAATCTGGAATTAAGTGGTGTTAATTCCGAATAATGTTTGTAAAATTCTAATAAATTAGACGTGGGAATTGGGGTATCGACCCATCTCGTCATAATCTCATCAGGTGTGCCGCACTGACTCGCACACGAACTGCTCGTGTCAGTTAGTTGACTATTTGTCGTGGCTTTGTAATCCGACAAAGAATTACTGTCATCCAACGTCTTGGCTGTTCTACTTGGTGTTTTGACATCTTTTTTTTGTCGGGGTCCGCGTTTTCTGCTATTGATGTCGATGATTATGTCCGGATTCGGCGTGCCATCCATATTCAACACGACTTGGGGCACGTGATTCGTCGACTCGAGGTGCTTCTTCAACGAGCTCTTGTGTCTCGTCTTGTACTCGCACGTATCGCAACGATATTGATAGAACTGCAGATGCACTTTCTCGTGACTCGCAAGCATAGACTTGCTTATGCATCTGTACTTGCAATTGCTGTTCTTCTCCTCGTCTCTGTACGAGCACTTGAAAGGTCTGTACGTCTCGTGAGCACTAAACCAATGAAATAGCAAATGATGATTGTGCTGCGCGACGAAGGAGCATTTTATGCAAACAAAGCCTTCGGGAAGATGCGTACGCAGATGCGCGTAATATTCCTGAGTACCTTTCGCTGTTTGGATATCGCAAAACATGCATTTTTTCATTTCCACATGCGCTTCTTTTTTCCGTTCAGTTTTCTTACCGCTTTGTTTTCGATTCTTCGTGAGATCTTTCGTCTCGTTTCCGGCCTCGTCCTCCGAAGACGAAGCCGACATCTCGTCGGAAATGCTGTGATTTACCAGTTGCAGCATCACGGTTATATAATCGAACTGATTATATTGCGACGGACAACCTTCGTGAGCCATGTGATGTAGAAACTGTTTTCTGAAATGTATAATTTTTGAAAACTGCTAACTTTTCTCGAACACATCGCTCTGAGTAACTTTATTCTGCGCAGAATTTATTGTGCTGTAAATTTGCATAGTACATACCTTTTCGCCGTAACAAAGCTACATACTGGACATCTCAGAATTCCTGGTTCCAGAGGAATGTGCTTCGTTGTCGGTATTGTTCTTAACTTAGTAGCTGCGATGACACAAGTCATCTGGTCCTTAATACTCATACTTGTATCTACGGTGAACGTGGACATACTCGTATTTGTATCCACGGAGGACATAGGCATCGACAACATATTATTTTTCTATAAAAATATCAAAATATGAAGAAGTTAGTTTGAAAAATTGGTGAAAAGCCCTTCTCGTAATTAAAACTCTTTTTTGTACAATACATATTATACACAAAGGGTGAGAATAAAAATATTTTTCTAATTTATATCAATAATAATAATGTAAAGTTTGAATTTGTTTGAACATTTTTTTTCTCTATGAAAATCGTGCAACAACTTTTCACAAAAGTTTAGAACAAATAGCTTTGAGAAATAATATTCTTTTGAAGGACAAAATAATCCTTAAAGATTTGAAATGCAAAGTAGGGAAATGTGCGCCAGTCGGGAAGTTCTTTTCATAGAATAAAAAGAAACCATACCTGTGAATTTTTTTGGAGATCTTGTGAATCCATAATAGATGATGTATTAAATGCAATATATAAATGAATATATATGTAATTTTTCAAACAGCAAATATATATTTATGAAAGATTTGTCTTCAACTTGAAACTTTTTTGTAGTATATTTTGTAATTTATATAACAAATAAAGAGCAGATCAAAGAGAAATTTAAAAATCTCGAATACTAGATGCTACTTGTAATGTTATCTAAGAATATCTTTACATTGATATTTACCTTCTTATTGGCTTCTTTATATTTATTTCAAAGTTTTTACATATTTTTACACTTATTTTACTTTTTCGATAGTTCGAATTATATCGCACATGTGTTGTTAAATTATTACTGCAATGCTCTTTCTCTCTCACTCTCTCTCACTCTCTCTCTCTCTCTCTCTCTCTCTCTNCTTTTTCTCTCTCTCTCTCTCTCTCTCTCTCTTTCTCTTTTTCTCTCTCTCTCTCTCTCTCTCTCTCTCTCTCTCTTTCTCTTTTTCTCTCTCTCTCTCTCTCTCTCTCTCTCTTTCTGTCTTTCTTTGTTGATAATAATTATTAATCTAATATATAAATCAATATTATTTTTACAAGATATTCTTTTTCTTTCTTTTTTTCTTTTTATATCTCTTCTTTTCTTTATTTCTCTCGACACATGAATAAATAAAACAGCAAGACATTCATCTTTTTACTGTACAAATAAAGCATCATAAATAAGTTGTTCGACAGACTTTTTGGATATAAATTCTACGTTGTGAAGACAATTTACCTTTTACAGGTCGAATTCGATTCGAAAAAAATTAGTTCAATTCTCGCCGCACGCCTAGGGTCTTTATATACTTTTCCGAGTAATTTGTCTATGTTCAGGAGATACAAGTATTTAAAAAGTATATAAAAATGTGAAAGTATTCGAAACATACACACATATACGTCGAAGTATTTGACAAGTCTTTGAATATCGTTCCTTTTCGGAAGCAATGTCGCGAATCCTTGATTTTAACGACGAGAGTGATAGTTGCGAAAACTATTGATAATAATACATATTCATTTTTTACGACAATATTTTAACGTCTTCCGCAACCAATACCTACATGTATATAAAAAATTTTGCGGCTATCGCAATAATGAAGGTTAAATGAAGATTTAGCTTTACAACCTATATATAGATACACCGCATGATTTTTGTTGGTGATTGGAAATAATATTTTATCTTGTTGATTAATGTGATAATTATTTAAAAACCAAAACGTCGCATTTTTGTCAAACGCAAAACATAAAAACACATTTTTCGAATTGAATAATCGTATAATAGTTCAACAAACGTTTTATCGAAAATATTTGTATATGAAGATCTTGATGATTTTATTTTTGCTGTTACTGATAATAATTTTATTTTCCTACTCTCAAATTCCGAACAGCACGATCTTCTAGTAAAGGTCAAAACAATTTCCAAATTCCACAAGCGAGACATACGTCAAGATCATAACAATAAATAGAAAAACATACGACAAAGTAAGATATACTGTGGAAATTCAATTGGCAAATGATAGAGCCACAAATGCGAGCCATAAAAAGGTAGAAAAGTTGTCGATTTCGTAATAATGATACGAGATATGTGTATACATAAAAAGAATTTATCTATATGATAGAAAAGAAATTAAACAAAAAAAAGAAATGAAAATCGCAACATTTTCCTTTTATGTGTGAAGTACATTATCGACAATTGAGACTTACGTGAAAATTATTACTTGGCGCAAATTACAACCGAATCATTTGAAGAGATTTGTGAAAGACGATCAATTTTTTTTGCTGACTCTTCGTATTCAAAATGACTAGAACAGTGTTGTTCGACATCTCGTGAGCAAATTGAAATCAATTTGATCGATCGAATCGCAAATGTGAAGCTTGATATTCGCAACTTGAGTCGACCGTTATTGTTGATTTGACAATGACAAACGTAATAAACAATTGTCACGTTAAGCCGTCAGTAATAAACTCGCAGTTTTTTTTATTACAATCAAAATTATATCTTACGTTTTTTTCTTCTGTACGCTGGAGGATTGAAAGTCAAAAATTCTCTTTCTTTTTGTTTTTCTCAAAAGAAAATATATACACAATGTCCTTCTTCTCATAGACACGATTTGGTTAAAACAACGACACTCTACCAGGAGTATACAACCGAGCGAACAAACACATGTTGACGCGACAAGTCTATGTGATAGACTGTTAGCGAATTCAAAATTTCACCACGGTAGAGCTGCTTGTAAATGACACAACATATAGAAAGAGAGAAAGAGAAAGAAAAAGAAAGAGTACACTCTCCCTACTACTAGCTTACTTTGACTTGATGGTTACTTATCCAGAGCGACAGAACGCCATACGTACCGAGGTGGAGGTGTAGCTTATAGGGAAGTTACCCTCTCTTCCTGATGCAGTTGTCCAATCGGGATTCGGTCGTTCCCACTATGTCTCGCATTTTTCGACCCTTGCTTTTGCACTGATCGTGATTGTTAATACTACAATTTTCACTTACTAAAAAATAGGTGATTCATGAATCTCTTTTTTACGCTTTTGCCATAAAAAATGAACCGTTATTGTCCAGTTGTTTTTATCAAAAATAGGTCACTTTTACATGTCTCGTAATCTACGATGAAACCTTTAACGAAACCTTTATTTTTTTTACACACTTTTTTTAAGTGGCTGCTTCCAAATAGTTTTCGTTAGCAATTACTTTTGAATATTTGAACGTTTTTGACGAAAGCGAGATAAAAAAAGGAAAAGACGTCGAAAAAACATGGTATAAGAAATTTCTGTTTTTTTGTATAATGTTAGATTTTCTCCAGATTCTAGCACTATTTGTCATATACTTTTTCTATTAAAGTGTCTTGAAAAGTCAAATTATTAGAAGATTTCTTTTTTTTTTTTTTTCCTATAATTCCATGGATTCTTTTTTCGGCGAGCACAGTCTGCTTTTTCTCCATCGTAGACAGCTTCCACCCTTTCCCTAATATACTGAAAAAAGAAAGCAGAAAATGTGTTAGTACACGTTCTAGCGAACTTAGAATATCTCTGAAAACAAGAACGCAATAATTTGTCGGATAAATATAACTTCAATAAATCCGATCTGTTTGGTTTAATCCGACACTTATGATTATTTTTTTATCTCAGTACTCGTCGCACTCATTTTGTTATTATTATTTATTTTTATCATTTTTTTTTATATTTGTGTATCACATTTTGTATTACAAAATTTTGTGATTCGGTTTTGTCGCTGCAAATATTTATTTTAAATTTATTTCGTTTTTTCATCGTGAAATCGAAAATATTCGCAGTTCGCGATGGTTGACGAGAACGTTGTGCGACGAAAAATTTGGCTGAATCTATAGAAACCGAGGCGGTGATATTGTTGGGGTTCCGCCGCCACCTCAGCAGCCCTTCGTCGCGCAGGCTGCACGGGGGCAAATGGCGCCCTTCTCTAAGGACAAACAACTGACAGCTGACCCACGCTTGTGTAGGGTTGACCCATACTTATGGTTCATCTGCTAACACTCCAGCCTCAGCGGCCAGCAGCGCACGCTTTTTTCTACACCCGGAATTTTTACCGTGGACCAATGAATCCTGTGCTGAATTGGATCGGACTTCGGGCATCAAACAGGCGTTGTGTATATTTCAGTTCTGACCACTATAACAACAGCTCGTTATGGGCTGGAAAAAGTGCGACGCTAAAAGATTCATCATTCGATGCTGAACGTTTATTTATATAGAAATATTTGCAATTTCTATTTTGTTAAAAAAAAAAAAACAACCGTAAACCAAGAATGTATTGTAATATTATTTTAAATTGCTTTAAATTTAAAAAACAAATTTTTATTTATAACTAGCAGTAAATGTTACAATTTTACATACACATGACACGTCCACTATGACATAGTGTAATATTGAATTTTTTGAATTGAATTGTCATTCCGTATTTTTTAGACTGTGTGACTAATCTCAAATATAACAAAGAACTTGTATTGAAAGAAAAAGGTAAAATTTCCGGAGTGTGTCAAAGCATTAAAAACATTTTCTCGATATTTACATAAGAAAGGTAAAAAGAAAAACGAGTTTAAGGTGTTCGCTGAGTGACGATATTGTGGTCAGTCGCTGGCTCGAGTTTCGCGGCTTTGAAATAGATTTTTGTCTCCCCCCTTTCACTCTTCGCTTATTCCTGCCGGCTTACTCAGCATCTATGGAAGTTTGCGGATCGAAGAGCTCTCGATCGGAGAGCACTGGTCGGGACGACTGTGTTCTCTGTCCTTTTACCCACAATTCCTACGACCCTATCGCCTTTTGCAGCCGTCGATTCTTCTTCTCGTCTCTCCGTAGTTACTCGTCTGTAGCTTTTTATCCTTCGTGTGGAAAAGGATAGTCTGATCTTCATTCACTTTCTGTTTCTTTCTTATCTTGTTTTTAGTATGTTCGCACACGTGGCACGAATCATCTCATGTAATAAACGACACTTAGCGAATTATTAGAATGTAGACGAAATGGGTAAAGGAAGTCCGTAAAATGCTGAAAAAAAGAAGAGAAAAAGAAGAGAGTAGGATCGTCAAAAGACGCATTCGACAGACTTGCAAATATTTCTATACGAAATAATTGTGCTTAAGTCAATAATAATAATTTGTGTTAACAATGATGATAATAATAATAATAGTATTCACACTCGTTCGCGATGTAAAACATGAATTTTTTATTTCTTTTTTTTTGCGCTGTCAATTATTCACTCTTATCATTTTCGAAATCAATTAAGTGGCTTAATCATTTCGATTTATTCACATAAAAATAACTATAAAAAATATCTAATCGCTTTATTATCAAAGAATTAGATTTGTACTTTTACAAACATACATCTTGATTTTTTAAATTTACATCTAATTAGAAATATATATTAGTTTTGTAATTTACTTCTAATTTTTCAAAAATATTGATTCTTCAATATTAATTTTTAATGATTATTAAATTTTTATTTTAATATTTGTAATTGCGTTAATCTAAAAAAAAGAGTTTTACACACAAATATATATTTTATCTAGAAAATTGTTCTTGCGTATTGTAACAACGTCGATATCAATGTCCACCTACTGCCAAAGCGCAACGGCACAAAATTGAATTTGACTCGTGTTCCACGTTACGATTCGCGTATTTTGCTTCACGCGTTTCACTCTTCTATGTGAAAACGGTTGCGACTACCACCGCTGGCTCATGATAAATAAGAAGCATTGGGGTCGCATTGCCACAAGAGAGGTCAGCTGTTGAACAATATCGGGTGCACGACCTTTTCACCCCTGGGGGTTAATATGCGGATGGCTAAACACCGGCAACCGGACAATGCGAGATTTATAGATCGACATGTACGCGACCATTGTCCACTTTCGATCTCAATAGTTGTCGAAGGCGAGATTTTCTCTCGAAAGCCGATCGGCAGCCGTTCCAAATTTGCGCGACGATTGCGAGCGGTACGTTCTGATGAAAAATTGGGGAAAATCGCGTTTTCGACCCTAGAAAATTTCATCGTCCATTCTCTCTGCCTTGGTCACCCGCTCTCTCTCTTCTCCCCTTTTCAGGAAGCATGGCGTTGCTTCTATGAAACGTACGCGACGTAATAATCCCCCACGGGGGGTCAATAATAAGATCGATCTCTCGGCATATATCTGCTTTGTTCATCTGCTTCGATCTCTGTTCTATTGTTTATTATGTTTAAAATCGTTTACTTACATACAATTTTCTGTTTCTTCTTTAATTTGATCCGTAGAAATCACTCGCACAAGACGTGTATTTAAGTTTTTTTTTTTAGAAAGTAAATTCGTAATTTTTTGTCATTATAAGAGCGATTTTGGTGTCTCTCGATGTTTTACGATGTCTCGATATTTCCGATCGCTCTCGTGTTCCTCGTAATCGGATTCAGCTTCACGGAACGCTACATCCGATCGTTTTCATTTATAGATTTTTTTGTCAGCTCCCCTGGGGCGACTCGGTCGTTTAAGGGTGGGGACCAACACAAGGGCAGTTGCACTCTTTCTCTCTCTCTCTTTCTCCGTCCAAATTCCACAAAAGAGAAAAGTAAGGGAAAGACGAGAGAGACGCGGGTCCGGTAAGATGACCGAGGCACGCGATAATTCCGGCCACTTTTCAAACACCGCGACCCTAGTCGGGATTTTTTTTTTCTCGTTTCATTGCAACGTCTCTCGCCCGCTTTCTTCTCATCCTCTCCTCCCCTTGGCGTTTCCTTTTCTTCGTCTTCCACCGTCTGCCGTGTGTCGACACATGATACGGTACTAACGAAAGCACGCGTCGAGAACAGAGAAACAGAGAAAGAGATATTTCCTCCTTTCCGCTTCAGCTGTGCGCCACCGTATTTCTATTTATAAAACTACTGCGGTCTTTCGCGTATATATACGGGAGATGATTTGGATGGCGGAAGGAAAGATGGAGAGAGGGAGAAGAAAACGAACGCGGAACATTGCGAGTAGTAAATTTTTCTTTTAAAGAAAAGGGAAATCGAAACGGTGTGTGGCACGCGTTTGTCGCATGCCACGCACGAGACACGTCTGAAAAAGCCAATAAATAAAAAATTGACATAAAATAGTGTCTCTTAAATTTTTTTACAAACTCTATAAATTAAATTATATTCAATTATATATTTAATTATTATCTAAATTTAAGTGTACAATAAATCAATCATTTGCGTGTTTATCGGATATTTACAGGCTATCTTTGATTATTTTTGTAAATATTCAGACAATATATTCGGGAATCGCGATATAAATGTATTTTACATGAGCCTGTGAGTTGTGACAAAAAAAAAAGAAAAAAACTTGTTAGTTTACCATCGCCGATCGAGATATATCATAATCAATCGACCGTCATTTTTGTGCCACCTTTTCGTGCCACTTTTTCGTTTAACAAAATGGCATGTGATTCGGCATTTTTAGAGGAAAATGTAGGTATAACTTTAAAAAATTTCTTTACAATAAGTGAAAATATCACTAGACAGTTTTATCTTTTCTTCTAAATCTATCTATTCAATTTATTTAACAATGCAAAGTTAAAAAAATCTGTAAATTCAAAACCAGAAGACGAATCTCAACAAACAGATTATCGACACAATACTGACAGCAATTGTATGCGAAACTGCAAATTGGCAGCAAATTGCTAATAAGTTGCATTTATTCTAAACAATAATAACAACAGTAAACCATAAAACTTTCTTTTACGCATGACGATTTCTGTTTAAAGTGACGAAAGGGTAACTTTACAAACACACACTTAGCCATCCCCTTTCCAAACGATGCAACCTGTTGCACGCGCGCAAAGGGGGATCTTAATTTTTTTTTATGCTCAGGATCGTGCTCGTATTACCAGTCATTTGTACAATAGATATCAACCTGTTGAGCTTCAAACTCGTAGAAGGGGAGTTTTTTTCTCGCACCAGGTCCCATTAGACACGGACTTGTTCATATGAGGGGAGTGGTGTCGAGTACCGTTTTTTCTCATCGGCTTTTTATAATCGGTCTTGAAAAAAAGCTCCCTATATCACATCTCGAGGTAACAAGTGCAGTTACCTGAGCGTGAATAGGGAACGATATATAGTGTTTAATATCTATCTCGATTATCCTTAATACTACCACCCTACGCAGGACAAAAATCTACAGAAATCTCGTCAGACGTCCATTAGATATCACGTAGAGCTATAGATTTCTAATGGATATCTATAATGAGACTTGTTCTGTGTGGGATTATTATCCTATCACTTATACTATTACCTGTGATTGAAATAAATTTGTAGATTTGTGATAATTTATCGATATACAAATGTGTTTAATTACTTATCGTTAAAAATATGAGCGTTACACTTGAAAAGAACGTTACACTTGGAAAATTCACGCTTCTTAGTGAGAATTTTTGGTGAGAATTACTGTGTACTACACATTTAAATCACGTATTCTAAGCCGAACAATCGACACCCTTAAAATAAATTTTATAGCATGCATGAACTCTATTAGGAAAAAATTTCTTTCGACTGACATTTATGTTTCTGCAAAAAGTGCCGCTTTCTCTTTTCCCTTTTTTTTTATTCTTTTTTTGTTATATTAAAAAATCCTTAAACTTTTCTAGATCGTAAGAATGTTTTTATACAGAATAAAAAACATTTTCAACGTAATTTCTACAATTTCGAAATTTTTATGACACAAAGTACATTCTTGTGTATTATAAATTAACGGTTTTTTTATTCGACTACACAAACAGTAAAAGGCGGTAAATTTCATAAATTAATTTGATATTTCTTTTTATGCAAAAATTTACATAGAAATTTGTTCACTTTCAAATTTGTTCTTATACACATGTATCTGATAATTATTGTATCAAAGTTCAATATTAGTAGATATAACATCTCGTATGTTTTTATATTTCTCATTACCTACTTTAGCGCCGCTCAGATCAAATCAGCGTTATCTCTTATTCCAAAATTGTGATGTGAACGTAAAAAACTTCAGATACATTGAATTCCCCGGAATTCAACGAGTTTTTTCTGTGAGTGAAAGGTGCTTCACTTTCAGAGGGAGAAATTGCGAGAGGAAGGATTATAAGGTTTAGCGGACTCGTCTCTCTTGGACCGGTTTTCTTGCTAGTCATTCGTTTCGAGATTGTTCGAACACGCTTTCATTCTTATTATACGCGTATCACATACATAAAGATATACTACGATTAAACATCCGCGAAAACTGCGCGTGATTATAATAATTGCACTTTCAACTAATAAACATGTAGAAAGATCAATATGCACAAGTAAACAATAAACAAAAGAAAATATCTACATAGGTATTTTTCTGAAATCGTCTTTTCTCTAAAACTGACTAGAATTTTTTCGCATCGTTTTTTTTCGTTCTACGAAATTGTAAGTCCATGTTTTTCTTACAATTAACCGATCGTTTTTGTTATCTCGAACAGTCGAACTATTCAGTCTTGTCTCACTCTTTTTTTTGTTTTTAGCACGTTTTTTAAAACTTCGCGCAACTGGGGGCCTACTTATTGAAAATAGTCTGCAACTTTTGTGTTTAGTATGTCGAGACATTCTATTTCTAAATATATCGATGTACAAAGTAGTTATTATTGTACATGTCAGTTTTTATTTCATTAATGATCGACACATGGCGTGTTGAGAGTAGGAAGTAGAAAGGAATAATTGTTTTATTTATCAATACACAAGAGTAAATAATATGTTTATTGTTATGTCGTTTATTACTACGTCATTTGTTATCGATATAAAAACGTATGTCACAAAATTACTTCCAATGAGCATATATTTATTTTAAATACTGATATTAACTAATTGCTTTTCGTTCTGTGTATAATCTCAGATATTATGGACGCGAATGCTCAGCCTAAGCGGGGAGTTTCGATCTAAAACACAAATCTATCCTACGCGCGCTCAAAATCGACGTAGGTCAAGGCACTTGTGTATTCAAGGATATCTTTCACGCGAAGGCACTTACGGTGAATTTCCCTGCCACTGTGTGCTCCCCAAAAATGTAAAATCTAGATTGAGTTTAGACTAAAAGCAAGATACAAGTATGGTGAATTAATAGATATCGTTAAATCGCAAATAAAATAATATATTAGACGCGCACTTGGCCTGATGCTCCTGGAAGACTGTCGATCAGATTGACATTCGTGACACTGAGAACTGTCTGCGCTTTGACTAACACACATCAATGAATAATAATTGGACAGAATGTCAGCACTGTGGAACACGCCAAATTCGAATAAAATAAAAATAAAAGTAGCTTGAGTAAAATTTGAACGAGGAAATAACAAAAACCAAAAAAAATATGGTGAATAAAAGAGAAACTTAGAACTGAATAAAACTCAAAGCGCGTAATTTGAATACGACATAAAACTCATTAAAAATGTTGCAATTCCAATTTGAAATAACAATCAACATGTATGATCAATATATGCGCACGTAAAATAGTTTATGGTCACTGTGCTCGACGTGCGACATTCTGTCTTCCAGTGCTTCAGCCAAACAATACAAATAGTGACACAAATATCAAATCAACGTTTACACGATCATTTCATTAACTATCTTAAAACAAAAAAAAAAAAAAATAAGTCAAGACATTCGACATTCGCACGGACCAAACGGTTGAAATAAAAAGACATCAACGTGGGAGCGTGCGAATAACGAAGTACAAGTTTTGTTTCTCCGCGACTTTTTCCGTCTGTAGGAAAAAGTGAGAGAGTCGATATCGCAAAATGTTTACATGATATAATTTTCGTCCTTTAAATATACAATAATTAAACATTCATGCAACTGTTTTAATTTCACGACAAACTTGTACACATATGTCACAGCAATTTTTATAAACAAATGCAGATTTTAATACGCTGTTATATTCCTCGATAATTTCTGTATTTGATAATTATACTTTTTTATATTACAGAATCACATTTACTATTCATAGTAAGTAATATAAAAAAAACTTAATTTAATAATTTATGAATATTTGATAGTATATGTTAATGCATTTGTTGATAATTTATATTGTCATCTGAAGATAATAAAAACACTTGCATGAACGAAAACATTCGCATTGTGTCATACATTAAGCTGCCATATGTATTGCATGTGTTATCTTCTTTACCGAAATTGTTTTCATTCCCGGTAATCAATAGGCCGAGTTAACTCGCAGTTAATAACAAAAGATACAAGTGTTAGCGGCCTCTTTCTTCTCGCAGTTCTAACATCTTCGTAAAAGATATGGAACGCGAAAATTCTTATGGCTAAAGATATTTTGATGAACTTGTCAATGCCGTGTATGTCAGTATGTATATTTTATATGTATATAAAACATACATATGTATATACATATATATGTACACACCTACATACATACATATACATATATGTGTGTTGTATATATACATATATACAACACAGACAGATATATATATAGATAGATATATGTGTACACATATATCTATCTATATATCTATATATAAAATATACGTACTGTATGTTATACACACATAAACATACACGATATATATTTATAATCTACTATAATTCTTACAATCTCCATTGTATAACTGTCAGTATAAAATGTATCAGAAATTTACAATCTAACATGATTTATTTCTCGAAAAATACCAATATAACTGCATAACACGAGTATAGAACTTTACACGTATAAAAAAAATATATATATTCTTATTTTAGGTATTTAAATCCCTTTTATTAGAGAAATACCTATCCGAGAGTCTAAAATTTGTTGTGTCTAACTTTTAATATTTATCATTCGCATAATCATTTGCTATGGACGGTTATTGTTCTGAAAAAATTGCGACCAGTTGGTCGTCACGTTAATCGATATTGACAAAGACAAGGCACATCAAGGCACGTCTTACAAATATGTTCTTTCTAAAACATTGCACCGCAAACATGTTGCAAACGTTCGATCTACAATATTTCGCAACACACATACACAGAATCAGACATATACATACGCACTCACTCTGATTTACAGAGTTTTATGAAAGTTTCCGATCATACTGCACTTGAAACAATATAGTTCATATTTGAGAAATTATAAATGTCTAAGTGCCATTAAAAACTTAACCAGAAAGTTCAGATATCGCTTTCTATAACATAAAACATGATAAAGAACAGCAATATATAAATTTTCACGCAAGTGTTTTTATCATCTCTAAACAATGTAAAAGTAGATCAGCAAGCAACAATTAATATATTTATACTAATTTAATTTTTTATTAAAGTGTTTGTTTAATTTTTATATATTACGAAACTTTAATCACACACGAATATTAATCTATATTTGTGTAGAAACATTTGCTTTTTAATATAATAATAAATGCAATTTTTGCGTGAGTTCAAAGTTAGTTGCGTGAATTAAAGATTTTTATAAAAATGGCACACACACATTTATCAATTTATATTCCCAAGTTGTCATTGTATCTTCATAATAATGTAAAATTTTCATATCGTCAAAAAAATAAACATTAATTATTTTATATATTAGATATATTAATTTTAAATACATATATAGTTACATTTAGAAATTATTATGAATTTTCAAATTATTTTATTTTATTATATTATTTTTCTTTTATTATATTATATATTTTATTATATTATTTTATTTTATTATATTATTTTTCTTGTAATTCACACTCGCCGGAAAAAGACAATTTATGTAAATTTATACCAATATACACGCGTGTGATAATAACATTTCAAATATATATATTTCAATAGAAATATAAATATTAGTATAAAAACTCAAATTCTCAAATTCGTGTCAAATTTTTCAAAAAAAAAACTCTGCTCTTCTTTTTATAATCAAATTAAACACTTCTTGATTAGTTTTTCATTTCTCATTCATATAAGATACAATTACAAGCTGGGTATAATAAATGAACATATTAAATATCTCTGACTCTTTTTCTTGTAACAGACAGCGTCATATTTATCTCTATTTTATCAAACTTAACATTCTCTCACGTTATGCATAATGTGTTCGGTTGATTTAACATTTTTCTTTTCAAGTAACGATATCGTCGAAGATATCAACGTGAACAGAACGTATACGATATTATATGATATTGCAAATTGTGTGTAATGTATTTGCAAGAGATATGCGTAATCATAAAACCTGATACGTCATGGTATCAGACATCACTCAAAAAATTCGATTTTCTATAAATTAGATCCGCATCGTATTGTTCGTTCACTCACGCGTGACTGAAAAAACGTAGGGATCTGCTTTTTTTCTTCTTCTCTTTCTTCTTTTTCTTTATTATCAATCGGACGTATTGAATATTATTGTCAAGGTATTCGACCCTCTACTTTTCCTCTCGTTCTCTCTCTCTTTTTCTCTCTCTCTCTTCTCTCTATATAAGAAAGTATAAACTTATATACAAAATGCTTAAACATTCTTGCGCACGCACATACAAACATTCATTCACACGTCATTCAAACGAGGGAGGAAGGGAAAGAGAGAGAAAGAGAGAGAAAGAAAAAAGGAGAAGAAGAGAGAAACCGAAAGAATAGAAATTCTTATTTTGCATATGTACATATATACATATGCACATTCATAAATCGATGTATACATATACATGTACATACGTGAGACTGTTGAGCACGATGAATAATTAAAAGTCAACATATACCTAAGCTTGAAAAATATTATCGTAAACGAGCGTGCGTTTCTTATGGAATACTCGTACGCATGGTAGGATTCCCTGAAAGGAATTTCACGTTGATTGATGTATCGACGATACTATTTAATGGGCCGATCACACGAGTCACGTGAACCTGCCACACCAGTACAATGTATCCTACAGCCACGTCAGCACGTTTTCCGTTTTGCTATTAGAATTTCTGAGCATGTCGTCCAAAATGTCGCTGTTGAAGTCCTCGCTCAACTGGAATAATAATAATTGGACTGAAATAATAATAATACGATATACTTTACATGTAATAAGCATTTTTTAAATAAAAATAGTAATAACAATAATAAGCAGCCATATAAAGAGCCGTGCACGTTACTATTTCCAATTTCTGTCGTTGAGAGATCTACCTGAAGCGATGGCAGGAGATCGTCAGCCGAATCGATGTTATCGCTTAGGGTTGACAAGTCGGGCGTCTCCATTGGCGCGCCACCGTCTGAAAAAGAAACATACACGCGTCACAATTTTATGTTTGACTACATATGAGCGCGAATTTTATGTATTATCTTATTGTTGCAAATATGTACTTATATATTTGTGGCTTCGGTATAATCGTTTCTTAATCAACACACTGTGCCATTCTGTAATCAGAACAATCGCGCACAAAATTTTTTTATAAATCGAAGAATGACAATAAACAAAACGAACAAGCAACATTCTTTTTAACTCATGTTACTCCTGTGTAGTTGTTCCAGCTATAGCAAATTATGATGTCAAAAACGAGAAATTTATACAAATTTTTGTCACGATTTCTCTCGCTTTTAGATGTCATAATTCATTGTAATCGCAACGAGTACCCAGGAGTCGTGTAATCTCTGACACATGTAGCGATGGCGATAGGTTTTTTGTGAATCTCGCATAGAAGAGGGTTTTATTCTTTGAACGCTTTTGCAAAACTGTTCTCACCGCTCGTTCCGTCCATGTTGTCGTCTATGGCGAGAAAATCATCGGGAGTATGCGACAGAGAGTAAGCTGAGCCGAGTCCTAATCCGCTGTCAGCGCTCTCTTGACGTGCGTGCTCGTTGATACCCGAGAGGAACGGATCCATAGCGGCATCGGTGGTGCTCTGTTGCATCATCAGCTCTTGCTGCAAGCAAAAAAAACTCGTATTTTCTCTTTGCCCGATAATAAGCATCAGATAAAATAGCCGATTCTTAGATTTTTCTAGGAAGGACTAGAGATTTTACCTGGCGCATAATTTCCTGCCGTCGTTGTTTGAGACGTTCGCGTTCCATATGCAATGACTGAAGACGCAGTTTCTGCTGACAGGCTTGCAGACTCTGATTACTCTGAATACTACCGGTAGGTTGCTGTTGCAACCAATTCTGCGGCAGCATCGTGTTAGACGCCGGAGTCCTCTGGAGATGTGTCGCTGAAACATACAATCCCTTGAGAGAGGACGCATTAAAGACGGAGAATGATGACGATTCCCGACGATCGAACAATAAACGAACTAAAATAAAACGCGGATCTCCAAACTTACGGATTCGGGGATCGAACCACGATGTGGTGCGGGTTTGATGATTGATGAAGTACGTCTCGCCTTCGGCTGTACGCGCCTGTTCCCATCCGTCGGGCAGCGGACCAAGCGAGTTGACTTGTTGAGCGGTGGATTTGTTGCTCTCCACCGCGGCGGCGACTGCCGCTACGCTCGCGGCTGCGGCCGTTTTCCGCGGATCCTCCCATGTCGTAGTGCGTGTTAAATGACTGCAACAAAATCATATGCCGCTAGAGAGAGAGACTAACGCGTAAAAACAAATGCACGAATCTACTGATCGACCAAATGCGGCATATTGCCAAACGATCCGGGACAAAAGTATAAGAAACAATTAAACATCAGTAAAGTTACACAAGAATCATTGTGCAAATTAGACTTATTTAGCGTCAGTTTACTCAAAGACGCTGAAAACATCAATTTAGATAGTCGAATTTATTGGAAAACCAGTTTGCGATAAATTTGCGAAGAAATGATGCAAAATTCAGAGAAAATATATTCGATGTGATGCGCCTTTGTCGCAGAGAAGCGAATAATCGTACGGACGACTCGAGCTTCCGTTCGATGTCAGATCGAGCACTTTAATGTTTCACTTAAGCCGCTCGATCCGCGGAAACTGAATACGCGCCGCGATGCGTACAGTTATCCACATATAGTAGGCGCGTGCTAAAAATACTCCCATTCAAAAGACCGAGGCGAAGTAGCGTGAGACGACGTGGACTAGAGCGTAAGTTTTAACGTCCGAAATAAAGGCAAACTTTTAATCTCTCGATTTTTTATGTATTACATACATATGTAGAAGTGCTCGCGACGAATATGGTAGTCCAACCGGATACGCATCGCGTCTCGATTAAAATTCATTTTCTCCTGTTAATTGCTTTTTCTCAAGCTCGAGATAAAATTTATTTTCTCTCATTTAAGGTCAAACTGTTACTTTGATTTTTCATTTTATCTTTAATTTCTTATGTAAAACTTTACTAAACGTTTCTTATAAACGCGCGTAAGCGACTTTACAAAAAAAAATTGAGTTTTTCTTCTTTTTATATTCACAAAGATGGATTCGCGCTATCGTTCGAGAACAGTAAGAGAACGAGAGGAAGTCTGTTTTGCACAGCACGCGTATGTGACGTCATCGCGCGATTATATTTCTTCACCCACACGCTAGGCTACAGACGTACCTGGGTGACGCGTACCTGCCTCGCAACACGGACAACGTTTGTAAACATCGCATCGTCGATCCGACATGTTCGATCGGTCCATCAAGCTCGATCAGTAGATCAATCAGAGATTATTTGAACAATACAATCTAAATCGTATAATTTCTTTTAGAGTTAATTTGTCAAAAAAAAATACGTCCACTGAATCCATTCAATTAGCGACAATATGTTTTCTTTGTTTCTATTTGTGTTTACTTTCTTATATTTTTCGTCAATTACTTTTAACTTGAAACTTGTCCAAAAAATTAGATGATCACTCCTGATCTATTGTATTCCAGAATTATAGAGAGAGAAAGTGCAGGTGTGGGTGGAGATGCATCAGCGGGGCACCCCCGGTATATCGCGATTGCGTTCCTCACGCAGTTTCTCACCCTAAGCGCGCCATGAGCGTAGTCCTCTTTCTCGTTTCCCCACGTCTCTCGGCGAAACACGGTTGGCCGCGGTCTAATAAGAGGAGCGGCGCCGCCTCTCCGCAGCCGCGCGCTACGGTGAGAGCATCGGAAGAGAAGAGGGAGTGCGCAGCGACGCAGGAGGGGTTGTCGGGGCGAAGGGAGCTGTCGAGGAGCGGACCAAGAGAGCCGCTCCGAAGCGTGTTGGAGAATTATAAGAGGGTTCTGTGTGGCGAGCGCGCGAGCGCGCACGCGCGCACATACAGACTCTCTACGGTGTATTTTTACTCCGGACATCACGGCGCCGGACAACTCGTAAATAGACACTCTCGCATCGACGCTCTTCGCTCTGCGTGCTCTCTGCTCTCCTTCGCCGGCTCCCGCAGCCTCCTTGCAATCCCTCCTTCCTCCTGCCGCCTTCTCTTCCCTTAGCGTTAGGGGCGCCCTTGCTCTCCCCTCTTTATTCTTTCGGCGCGGGAGACGCGCGCGCGACTTTGGAACCGCGCAGAGATCTCAAGATCTCTAACGTCCTTATGATACAATACGACACCGCCCGGTTCGCAGACGTCTCCTGTAAACCTCTTCGATTTTTGCGCGAGTTAAATTGGCTTCGCTACCGCGTACAAACAGACTCGATTAGAAATATCGCGATGTCGAGTAAAACGTCTTCGGTATTATCACGAGCAAAATACGTTTTACGTTTAGGTGTATATAATACACATTTACGCAATGCGCTGACCGGAAATGAGTTAAATATAAGTACAAGCGGCGGGAGTTACGTGGATGGAAAACTATACGCGCGCGCGCGCAAAGCCGAAGACGTCTTGAAAACAGATTGCTTATATCGCAAACGCGAACTCTTTATCAGGACTAATTAGCGCCGGACAATTTAATTCCCGCTAATAACAGATTAATCGAGAACACTTGTTTTGGAAACGACGCGAGATAAACGGCGCAAAATAAGCAGATTAATTTTCATGCGTAACATAAAGAATTACACATTGAGAATTTTAATTTATATTATTTGTAAGTAAAACGGAAATATTGATTTTATTTGAAAAAAAAAAAAACAGCACAATGTGTGTTTCTCGCTTTACGTTCGATATGTGCGTACATTTGTCTCGATTTTTGTGTCTGACGCAAATATTGAATAGCATCTTAAATGGCATTTAAAAATACAGGAGGGATTTTAAATACGTCCGCAAGAATTAAAGAAGCAGCAAGACTGACCCCTGTCTACTCTACTGGAACGGCATCCTATGCGAGGTCGTGATTTTGTGATGATACGGCAAATGCTTAATTAGCATATGTTTTATACAAGTCGCGCACATTTACCGTATAATGACTTGCCACAAATACGCTATGATATCACGCACCAACAAAATCGTGTGGAATCTTTCCCTCGTGAGGTCATTCGTTATTACTTGCACCATCATCGGTACAGATATTTAATCAACGTGAAATAGAGAGAAAATCAAATCTTTTTTTTCTGACAACACCTCATTTTTTTTGCGAATTTACTAATTTCTCAAACTGTTCTCTTCTTTTGAAAAAAAAAAAAAAATTATGTATTTAAGAACACTTTAACTCCACAAATTACAAACCGGTAGAAACATCTCGATGGACTATACGCTAAGATTAGGATTAGATTAAGAACAACGTTCGCGATGCGATTAAAATGTCACACGCCGGTATTTATGGTGCTGAACAGCACTAACGGTAGACAAGATTTTCAGTTAAAAGCATCTCAGCGCGCCATCAAACAAATTCATTATTACGAGCAAGTACGTATACACATATACATCCAATTTATTCGTATATTCCATTATTACGTGAATTCACTAATGCATCCGTAAATTAATTTACACACACATTAGTGAAATACGAAGCTTTTAAAGATAAATAGGTCTTCCAAATATATAATCTTTTTTTTCCAAACACCAAAATTATGTATTCGAAAAAAATTGTGAATTAAGATATGTTCTAGGACTAAAAAAGTAATCTTATTACAAACAATTCAAAACAGAAGTGCAGAAACATAACACAAGTGTAATATATGTATTTTTTTTTTTTTTTTTTCACAATGAACGCACAAATTTCACGCTAATGCGCCGCGTGTCGCTCACGCTGCCTTGAACTTTCGATACGTTCGCCCCGGCTATCTGTGTCCTCGTGTCTGGCATTCGCATTTGTCGTCTAAGCTCTCTCGCGTACAGGTGTGTCGGGGTCTTTAGCCTCGACGTAGAGTGCGGTGCGACGCAACGAGGTAATAGCATCGTGTTTGCCAACGATGGCGTGTCGCGATGCCACCGGTAAATTTTACTTGAGAACTATTATTCGGAGACGCGTTCTCGTTAAGAATCCCGCGTACAGATAACCATATTGAACTACTGCAATGTAGAAGAAGCAAATAATCATGCAATTTGTGTACAAAAATTGGAATAAATTAAGTTTTCTTTATACGCCACTCTATCGATACCAACATATATTTCAAGCAAAAGTGAGCTTTACATAAAAATCAATATTTACAAACATTAAAATCCGAATCAAAAAGAGGTTTTTTGTATTTACAATTTATTCATGTTTTTTGTCGTAAAAATATATGATAAAAGTTTATATAACTTTTTACTTTTAACATACATAATAAAGCCGCAACGATTACAGCTCAGTAGCCTTAAGAAAATATCCAAATTAAGCACACCATTCAGTAATGAGCTTTGTGAAACCTGCAAAGAGAGAGAGAGTAATTTGTGACGATTTTTACGCCAAACTAGACGAGTAAAATTCATACGCGGTCACATTATTTTGTCATTTGAACAATCGTTACAAATGCAGAAAAGATAACAAAATACATGTTTATGCCGGGCGCGACTCGGCCTTGAAAACAGCAGGACATCGTCGTAGCGTACACGGCTTTCACCGCGCGCATGAATTGCACTCAGAAATATCCGGTTACACCAAACGCCCTCGAACCTAATTTATTCACAAATTCATCATCGCTTCCCGAAGGTTGAACAGATTTTTTTTTTTTTTTTTTTCTATAAGAGTTTTTGCGAAGTTTTGAAACGCAGAAAAGAAAGATTAGGTAAACAGTATATTTTTATGCATTTAATTGTGAAGAAATAAATGAAATGGAAAAAAACAACAATTGGTACAATTTTGTAATTACGCCCTACTTTGGGTGTTCAGAGAACACCGAGAAGAGAGACGCCGCGGAATTGAGATCTCCTGCACCGCGTGTGTAACACAGAAAATTAAAAAATTAATAAATTTTACAAAATCCACGTATCACTCGCCGCGAGTTCTGTTGCACAAATCGACTGACTGAAGAAGTATTGCGCGTGTTCTACGTCTGATAATACGTGACTCAACCGGTAAGAGCTTCGACGCCAGAAACGACAAAAACCTTGAACGAATGTCTCCGCGTATCTCTTGTCTGAGGAAAAGACGAACACACCGCGATAAGAACGTCCTCAAGTGTTAACCGAACCGCCATTGTGTCTCACCTGTGTTTCAATAAAACGATCGACAAGGAAACATACACCGTGTTTCCGTCGCATTTTGTGAACTCCGAGCGTCTTGTAATCACTTGATATAATAAGATATACACGTAATATTCCTTATCTGTCGGGTTTTCCTACCTTATAAGACGTAGAGTTAGACGCTTGAAAAACACGACGAGTCTTTTGATTACGAAGTTAACTTTGAACAAACGTACACGTGCATATATTAATGAATGTTTAAGAACATGGTTTTTTTATCAACACAACTATCCGTCGACACACATAATTATCCAAATAATTATTTGTTGCACTCGAGGTAGGAAATTTTTATTTTACAAAGAAAGTGCCATTAAAATGTAATTAATTCAACACGTGATTACGTGTCGTTCAATACGATTGGGGATAATAAACATTAAAACAAAGTGTCACTGTTGCAACGATTGTGTAAAAATAGAAATTAATCCTCTCGAAAATTATACGGAATGACAGCAATACAAAATTATCTCGATCCAGATAAAGTAATAAAAACAGAGATCTGACTATATCTTCAAATGCAGGTATATATTAAGATATGTACTACAGCTATTTTTTTTCTAAATATACTTATCTATAAAACAAACTTTCTTGATATTCTATTCTCTTCTTTATCTTTGAAAATGCTTTTTTTTGTAAGACAACGTACACACACTAACAATATATATGTACAAAAAATGATTTTAGGCGACTTCTGTCGAATTTTTGTCGCGACAGCAACTGAAGAGATATATGAAGCTTTTTGGAATATCGTCTCAAATCAGAATTATTTGTCCGGACGTGACGTGTAATAAAAAAAAAAAACCATGTTTTCTTTGGACGGTTCTCTCTCTTTCTTTTTGTCACACTCTAAAATAGAGTATTGAGTTTTTATAAGACGGACCAAACCGACCAGGTAGTCTTTTCTCTCTTTCAATAGCAATAATCAGTAAAACTATTTTTATTTCATCACTTTCAGACCTAAAAAAAAAACAGTCAAAATTATATTATCCACACGATATTTTCTCTAATAAGAACATAAGTTAGATAGCTCGGCTCATTCGGTGTCGACATCACGTTTCAATTACGCTAATTAGATTCTAATAACTGCCGGTGCTGGATAAGATCCAACAACTTGTGAACAGTCCGTATTAATTAGATAACCATACAAAAAGAAAAAAATATGAAAAATATAAAAAATATGAATAATATCAAAATATAAACTAGAAGAGTGATTTAGAATTTTCATAGATTGAAAAACTGTGTGAAACAGATCATAAAATCTAACGTTTATCGATACGCGAATATAATGAATAATATCTTTTTATTTACACACACTCGCACACAAATATATATATATATATAACAGATAGAGTCATACATATGTATATAACTCTAACCGTAAATATATTATATGTGTCTAAGCAATATAATTTAATAGATGTAATAAAAATCCTTATTTGTGCATCGATAACCAACGCAACTCCGTTGACTTATTCACGTTAACGTTACTCAAGAGAAAGAGAAGAAAGAAACCGTCTTCCCGCAGCAGTCATTATCGCATAATGCAGCGAGCGCGCAACTCGCTTCGCTGCACTTTGCATCGCACTTTACCGACCAGCTCACGCTCGCTGCGCCTCGTATTACGCCTATCAAAAAAAAAAAAAAAACGAGCTCCGCACTCTGCTTCCGTAAAATTCGCCGACGATCTATGAAAAAAATGGAGTGCGTTAGTTCGACTCGAAAAAATTAAGTTTCAAGAAAAAAGACAAAACTAATATAGAAAAAAAAAGAATACATATTTTTCTTCGTGTTCTTGTCAGATGCAAACAATTATTATTGTTTGTTACATAAACTATAAGATAAAAGAGAAAAAATAACAGATAAAAAAGAACAAAAAATGTCTTAAGAACTGGCTTCGCGTTATCGGAGAAACCGTGACCAAGGAAACTCCTACCTTAGACTTGATTAGAAGAAAAGTAAAAGAAGGTAGCAGGTTTCTCAGGAAAAAAAAACAGAAAATACATAACCAAAGGTCGATCAGGTTGCAGACATAAACGCAATAGTCCATCCGATAGGAATCACTTCTTTTATTTTGTGTGCTTTTGTGTTCCACTTTCTGCATCGCAAATGAATGCGGGAGAGGGTGCTTTCGATTTGCGCATACAATTTCGCGCGTGAAGTACAGGAAAAAAACTAGAGAGTGGCGTAACACACACGGTAGAATTCCGTTACAAGGCGCATCGAGGAACCTTGTCACGCGCGCGCGCGTTTTCTCTACATAAAACCAAATTACTTATTTCTGATAAAGTTTCGCGATTTGCGTTTCATTAATTTATTTACCAAACTTGTGAGAAACAACTTGTTTACTAAGCCTCTGTTTCTCTTTCTAAAGTTTTATATCTCCTACTTTTCTTTTTGTGCTCTTTCTTTTCTTTCGAACACACATACTCATCTTTTTCCGTTTGACAAAAATATATATTATTTTTGTGTCAAACAAAATTAATATATATAATTACTGCATAGGAAATAAGTTTTACAAAAAGTCGCATCACAGTAGAACGTCCTTCTCACAATTTTGAATAGCGAGCGTGGATTTTGTACGTGAGATTAGAGACTCACATATTCAGGTAGATAAATGAGTTTAGGGTCAGATAAAAAAGAAGAAAAAAAAGGACGCTTTTTAACGACAGATCCGCACAGAAAAGACAGGTAAAGACACACGAGAGAAAGAGAAAGCGCAAGAGCGGAAAATTTCCACAACTTGACAGAAATTGTAGAATATAACAATTTCTTGGAAAACTAAAAAAGATTCACAGTGCATGCAAGATTGTTTGTGCGTTATTTGATCTAGCAAAACTCCAATTATCACTAAATCATACTTATAAATCAATAAATCAAAAAACACATAAAAATAAATTAAACGAAATACGTAAAATGTACGAATTTAACACACCAAAGTCACTTTTAACAGCTGGCAAGAAACTAGACATTCAGAAAACTAAACATAGAATCCCATGTGTCTTATGAGATAGTTCGTCACAATTTATAGAGCAGAGAAGTGTCGACGGTCAGGCGCGTAAGAAAAACGATCTTGCGGAATTTGAAAAATTGTGACGAGAGATCCTGGTTAGTTTGGATCACCGGCGAGTTGAATGAAATGGGGAAAGAGAGACGCGCGATCAACGACGAAGTTTCCCACGACAGGTGACACGTGAGGATCCGTGGTAGTCGCGGCGCGACGCAGGTGGATCAGGTTGAGAAGCCGAGACGCATGGTGGGAGGCCCCACGCATACCTTCGAAGGCATCGGAGAAGCGCGAGGGAGCATATGTCAGGAGTGAACCTAAGAATTCCCTTCTCAAGCCCCACGTCTTACAAAACCGCGATTAAACATCGCTCGCGACGATTATCGTGTTACGAAAAATGCGATACAAGCTGTTTCACTGATTTTACTTTTAACAGATTCTCTATGCATTTTCTATGGATTTCATGTTGCACAACACGTATTACGTCTACTGTTTTCGATGAATGAAACTTTTGGGCAGCAAATTGTTCGCTTACGTCTCTCTGATTGTTTTCGACGTAAAAATTCTGAAACATACTGCATCAATAATGGCGCTAATTATTTACCGTGTGTGTATTCATTATGTATACGTATTTACGAATTCACCGTGACGATTGTGTTCGGTTTCGAAAGCAAGAAACGACGGCCGACGCGAGAAGGGGCTCTCTTAACGAAGAAACGAACGCATTCTTCTTCCCTCACTGTCCGTCATGAGAAACAGTGGGGAATCGAAGGGATAACGAGCAAGGACGGAAAAGAAGGAAGATGAGTAAGCTGGCAGGACGAGGCAATAAAGACGATGCCGACCTTGAAGTAGGTAGGGAATTCAATGCAGAGAATATCGTCAGCGGTGAATCTCGTTCGGAATAACTGTTCTTCGCTAAATCGCAGCCGTTCAGACAGCATGAAATACGCCAAATCCTAAAAAAACACGCACAATGTTTATCTTGCCTTCTGATATTCTACCTAACAATTTCCTGCGCATATGTGTGTACACGCACATGTAAAACCACAAACTATAGCATATTTCATGTAACCTGTCTACGTTATAAACAATTGCCATGACTATTGAACGTTATGAGACACGTGTGAGGACTCGAAATCCGGAGTTGAACGCGTCAACGCCAACCAAACAGAGCGCGCACCGAAAACAACGATATATTGCAAATAGCCGAATCGGACGAGATGAGATCGGAGGGCGGGCTGACGTTTCCGCCATTCTCCACGCCCACCACCTCGTTCCTCAACCCTCTCGCCAGCATCCCCGAAATCGTCGGGTGGGACGCGCGACATGTAGGGACACACACACTACTTACTTGAGGAAATAGATCTGGCCCTCGGGGGTGCGCGCTTGCTCCCATCCGTGCGGCAGCGGGCCCAGGTCGTCGACCGTGCTGATGACGTCGTAGCTGCGCTGCTTCTGATGATGATGGTGACGCGCGTGCGGTTGCGGCGCGTGTTGCGGCGCCTGCTGTGCCGAGGCATACGTTTGTTGGAGGGAGGCCGGACTACTGTGAGCGCGGGGATGCGAAACGGTGAGGCCGGCCACCGCAACGGCTGCTGCTGCTGCGACCGCACCTGCGCCGCTGTTGGCGTCGCCGCCACCTCCGGCGCCGCCTCCGCCACCCGCGGCACCTGCGGCGTTACCACCGCCGGTGCCTGTACCGCCGCTAGGTGCACCACCACCGCCGCCGGTGCTCGGTGTCGCGGTACCAAACGCGGAATCCGCGGAGTTCTCGCGCGAATGCGAGATCGACGGGCTTTTGCTACCGGTGGATGGCGGGTTAAAGAAGGAATTTGGTAGGTTGCGCATGCGTAGCGGTATCTGCAGCGGTCGCTTGGAATCGGGCTTCAGGACAGTGTCAAACAGCGCTTGCAGATCGGATTCGGAGTTTCGATCGACCGTGACAACGAGACTCTTGGGCACCTGGTCTACATCCTGGTTGAGCGCCATTTTGGATCACACGTTTCTTACGTTCGCCCGCTACGTGCTGCGGGTGGCCTGCCGATCGACACTGTACGAGACTCGGTTCTCCTCGTCGTCGATTCCCACCTCTCCGACCGATCGGCTCGCCCGCCCTACCTGCGTAGACTCGTGACGAATGCGAGAACACAGGAAGCGCGACCCGAGAAAAAGGAGAGACAGAGAGAGAAAGATGTGCGCTCTCCCTTCTCTCTCTCTCTCCCTTCGTGTTCCTTCAAAAGATCTTGCCTGGCGCTCGGCAGTAGCACTCACTGGCAGGTAGATGGTATGTGTAAGACGATCAGGTTGTTGCCGAGACGACGAGATGTTTCTTCGAAAAAAAAAGCCTGCGGAGTGCGATGTGCGTGCACACACATTCGAAGAAACGTCTCCGCGATTCGCAAGTCTCGTTGCTCTTTTGCTCCACCTTCTTCGTTTCTCGAGCACGTCACTGCAACGATGCGGCTGACGACATTAACAGGCACAGGGAAGACGATCCACAATGCACAAAAAAGCCGATACACAAAAAAAACAAACTGTCAGATTGTAGCACCGCGCGTCGGACGTAATCGCGACTGTTCTTGGGTTTTGTCCGTCCGAGAAACGGCCGACGAATTACGAGGATCGGTCATTAAAACACTTTGAGGAAGTCGCGACGCGACGCGCCACGGTGCCGTCGCGCTACCAATGCGGCGGCACAAGAAGAGAAGCGGCGGAGTGATAAGTGACGACGGGAAGGCAAGCGAGCGGCGGAGGGGGAGGCGGGGAACGAGTCGCACGGGTTTATTCTCTTCTTCGATAATCGCAGGTCCACCTCGACCTCGCTGTTCGGTCTCCGTGCGGGGACTGGCTGCCTTCGAGTCGCCGACACTGTCGCGCCGTGTTGGTGTTACGTCGTCGAGTCCAGTCGATCTGGCAACCTGTGACGCACTAATGAAACACAGGCAGCTCTGGCAACTCCGCGAACGTGTGCTGGCTTCCCTTTCCCTGTCGGATCACGGACTGAATCACCGAATACGACAAAGCCAAGCGCTGGCCTGTTGCTCTTTCCTACCACTTAGTGGCTCCGAAGTAGACACGTGGGTGGTGATGGGAACCGAGCGAGATGTAGAGAGGAAACGCCTAGGCGCGTGTATTCAACGCGTTCGCGCTATGTCGCATCGCTCGTTTCTTCTAGTTTTTTACAGCACAACACTCGCTTTCACTGTAATTTTAATCAGTCAATTGTTTCTATACTATCTGACAATCCAATGTGTTACTGTTGCTTTTTTTCAAATACTGTGCGTTCAACTCCAATTAAAAAATATAATATAAAATAATCTAAAGTGAACTTTGTCAATTATTCGAATGTGCAGAAATAAATCAACAAAAACAGCGACATTACGCAACACACGATGTGTTAATCATTTAAAAATAAAAAACATATTTGCTGTAATTTGACAAATGATTCGCTTTTGGACAATATAATTAGAAAAACTTACAGTGTGTGACTCGAATGGCGACATGGTATGTTCTGGAACTGATTTGTGATTCAAACTATATCGAAGATCGATACATTATTACGATTCTCGAACCTCATTGGAACTGCCAGCGCACATTCAGTCGATACGTCAACATTAAGTAGTCCAATTGTGGCGGAGCCAATCATCTCGTATGTACATGTTAAGCCGGTATTACACTACAGATTGAGGCTCGATTTATGGTTAGAAATCGACCAATCAGATCGAAGCAGTTCGCTCAATTATTGGTCAACTCGCAATCATCTAACGAGCTAATTCAGTTCGTACCCGTAGTGCAATACGGACTTTAGCGATCTGTTCTCTCGTCAATTTTGATTGGTCAAAACAAAAGTTTATTGCAACCGCCAGTACCGGCCAATTTGAAATGGTAAACATAACCTTGCAAAACTTTGACCTACCTACCAAAAACGTATACGATTATTGAGCATACACGTTAATCTAAGCATAAGAAAAAGAAATCGGAATATCTAAGCTGAAGATACATTAAAAATGAATAAAAAACATCCAGAATTACATGGTGAGAATGTGAATAATACGATGCTCGAGTACAACATGGAAAAAAGTTTTGACGGTCAGGATGATAATAAAAAGCTGAAGTATCAGATTGAAGACTATCGGCAACAATTACATGTTCTACAGCTCAAACTCGAAGCTTGCCAAACGATTGGGGAAGAACTTCAACGTGTCAATGAAGAATTGGAAGAATCGCTTGCGCAATGCAAACAAGAAACAGAGAAAATTCTTCTCAAAAAAGAAAAAGGGTAAGTTTTGTTATTTTTTTTGTGTGATATTCGTTTTATATATTATAAATATCATGTCACTATTGTCATGTTATTAAATCTGTTGTCTTTGTATATTGTAGATATCGAGTAGAAAAAGAAGAATATGAAAAACAGATTGCAGATTTACAAACAAACATTGTAGAAAACAAGCAAGAAATTCTTGAGCTGACTAAAGAACTAAAAAAACACAAAGATCTTATGGCTGAACGATCATATAATCATTTTACTCCTTCAGAAGATGCTTTATCACCATACAAAGAACAAATTGCAGAACTTGCTGTGCTTCTTGAAAAAGAAGAAGAAAAAGAACAGCAATTGGAGGAAAAACTAGCAAATATGGAAACTCATTGTCAAGAGCTCAAAAATATTTTGGAGGTAAAACATAAAATTGTTGAATATATCACTTAAAGCTTATTACAAATGTACTTCCCAATAGATAACAAAAGAACAATTGGCAGAAAAGAATGAAGCATTAGAGAGAACACGAGAGGAATTAGCTGAGAAACGCATGGAATTGGAATTGTTACAAATTACTCCAGCTAGTGATACATGTAAAGGTAAAAACTAATATTTAACTTTTATTATCTGATTGCTCGTAAAATGGTTTCAATTAAAACACTTTTCAGGCAATTCTTTGTTTGCCGAGGTTGAAGATCGTCGGAAATTGTTGTTGGATCAATTGAAAGCACTTCAGAGCAAGAACATTGATATAAAACGAGCGCTAAATACAAAAATAAACGAAGTCAAATTGCTAAGAGCAGAAAAAAATGCTATGATTAGAAAATGGGAAACTGATGCAATCGATACACTCCAGGAAAAATCAGATCTATTGAATAATTATAAAAGTAGAATCGCCGATCTTGAGAATAAATTAAAAGCTGAAAGAAAGAAAACCAATCAAGAGATAGAAATATCATCGACAGATGATAGCTTTAAGTAAGCTAAAGCTCTTATTCTGTACACTCAAACATATTTCTAGTTCAATAATTCAGTTCTTTGTGGACACTCGAAAATATAAATATAAATTTTTAGTTACGCTCAGTCGTTATTAGTCGCAAAGAAAAAAGATCTTGAACAGTTGAACAAAATGGTTGAGAAACAGGCTATGCAGATGTTAGCGCAGGAAGAAGCAAACCATCATATTTCGATACAGCTTCGATATTGGCGATCTAAAGCGATGTCCTTAGAGGCAAGTATTTGAAGAACTTTAGAAAGAAGTAACAATTTAAAAAATAAGTTTTTGTACTTTACAGGCTCAACTCATGACTATAAAGACGCAACTAAAAACAGATGATAAGACAGATAATAAAATGCTGCTGGAAGCTATTGAAAATTGTACAATTTCTAGTAACACAGATTTTGAAAAGTTGTGCGGTGATTTCGAATCAACAGTACCTGATACTCAGCTCACATCGAACAATAATGTACCTCATCAAAATCCATCGAATACATCAGAAAAATCATTTGTAGATGCATGTGTGGATGAACAGCAGAAAGAAATTGGTGAAAAAGTCGTACGGTTCGCCGTGGATACTAAAGATACAGAGAAAAAACCTTTGAAAAAACAACCAAAAACACAAGATTATGCTGTTATAACAATCACGAATGATTTCTGATTATGATAATTGTTTTTTTATTGTAATATTTTATAAAATTAAATTTAAAAATATTATTCTTTATATTTAAGAATAAAATCTATTTTTTACATGTTTTGTATATGAAAAAATAAAGCTATTATAAAAACAAAAATGAGTTTTCAATTTTTTATTGTGTTTATATATTTTTTATGTTTTTTTTTCTTTCGACATACATAGAATTTTCCGATAGAAGTTGTTTGTTTGATTTTTGATGGTGCTTACAGCAACGACTTTTAATTGGCTATTCTCATAGTTCTCTTGTAAACTCTATCCAATAACCAATCAACTTAAAGTCTCGTACGATAAAAACTTAGCAGCGTATTTGCAGTCTACAAAGTTTTTATACTCATTGGTACGCATTGATGTTTGCAAAATTTTCAAACGTTTCTCCTGAATTTGTAAGATCAATTTTTAATAACAATATCGCAAAATAAATTTTTATCTCTATTTAACTATATAGCGTAATATACTATGTAATTCACGTAGAAGGAGAAGAATAAAAAGCTTTTTATTACGCGTTATTTAATCTCGATAGTTTTACGTTTTTATCTGAAAGTAAAAGACAAAAAAGTGTGACAAAGACGTTTTGTCATGTCTATTCTTTATAATTTTGGCACAATATAGTATGTAAAATTAAAAATCCTTGGTGTTGCATCAGCCGTACCGGTTGAATGTGCGTAGTTACGCTTAGATATTTTTGGACAATTTACGGTGTTTTTACACCGACTTCTTCAGTTTATCAGTGTTTTAACGAACATACAACTCCGTGGCTTGTACCCAAACCACGGTTTAGGACTTGTGTTACGATTCCTATAGACTTAGAATGGCGTATGGACTATCTTGAAACGGTCCTTTGAGCCATATATGCACCAAACCAAACCATGTAAAATTAAACAATGGAATCTTTGAAAAGAGAATCTGATGAAGAGCTGAAAATATACGAACCGGTTCTAGTTGGAATCAATAATGAAGATTCTATACGTATTGATAAAGATGAGGTGAGGAATGTTTTGTATCACGGTCTGATAATATATGTATATATATATATATTTTTCTATTAGTTTATAACCGTTTTTATTTTTCTATTCGTAAACAGTTCAAAATCGGTCGTGCAAGAGATAATGATGAAATTATACTAGATGTTACAATATCTAGAAGACACTGTATCTTCAAATGCGAAGGTTATAATGAATGGACAATTAAAGATTTAAGCTCTTCTGCAACATTTGTTAATGATGTTGTCATTCCTTCTGGAGTAACATATAAAGTTAACCCTGGTGATATTATACAATTCAGTCCTAATGAGACTTTTAGATATCATTTCACACTTGCTCAGAAGGAACATTATATTAAGAAACCTCGTATAGATGAAAAAATACTTGACACTGTTCTTAGCAAGCAGAAAACATTTTCAGAGTTCCAAGAATGCCAAAGAAAGGAACTCAGAGGTCAGCTTGAAATCAAACAGAAGGAGCAAGAAGAATTAAAACATCAATTAGAAGATCTACTGTCGCAACAAACTGTTGCTAATGACGATAGAGAAAATTTGCTGCAGCAAATTGAGACATTAGAGAGCAAAATAAAAACAGGTAATGCTCAAGAACAACATTTGCAGAATAAGTATTCTGAGTTGTTGGAAAAATTGGAAAATGAAAGGCTTCAATTTGAGACAAGATTAAATGATGAGAAGCAAAAGTGGCAAGAAGCATTAAATATGAGTAAACAAGAAAAAGAAATGTTAGAAGTAAACATGAGAGAAAAAATGGAAAAATGGAGGGAAGAGCAACAAGCAGAATGGAAAAGTATGATGGAGAATAAGATGAAAGAAGAAAAAAATATTCAGGCCCAATTATTGAATGAGAAGAATATGTTAGAAGAGAAATTAAAAGAAACTGAAAGAGCTTTGAAAGAACAAGAAGCAAAAGCAGAAACTTCACAGGCAGCTTTGAACAGTATGTTTCTTTGTTTTTAAACTTTTAAATTAAATATTTAATCGTAATTTTTAATAAGTTTCTTCTTCATCTTTTTCAGTAAATTCAACATCTGCTGAAGTTGCTGCTGCAGGAAACAACTGTATACTTGTAGAATTTGTCAATATTGACCCATCATCAGATCTACAAGTAATAGATACAATAGATTTGACTGAATTCAGTCAGGATACAAATATGGAAAGTAAAATGAAAGAAAACGTTCTTGAGAAAGTTAGCGGCATTATGGACGACCAGTTGACATGTAGCATATGTTCAGAGTTATTTGTAAAAGCGTCAACGTTAAATTGTACTCATACATTCTGTCGCCACTGCATAAGCCAATGGTACAAAAAGCGCAGAGATTGTCCAGTTTGTAGAAAACCGATAATATCAATGAATACGTCATTAGCTTTAGATAATTTTATTGAAAGTATGATAGAGAACTTGCCTACCGACCTAAAAAACAGAAGAAAAGAACTTGTACAAGAAAGAAAAGGTAAAAACACAATTGTAGCTTTTTTACAGTATAAATATTAGTATATTACAATAATTCTGTAATTCTAGTTTATATGTCTAATCTGTGTAGTTTTCTAATCTACTATTGTATTATTTTCTAGCGTTGGAAACGAACAAACCGTTATTCACGTACAAGAGACGTTATTAAAGTGCAACGATCTCGAGAAGAGAAAAAAAGAATAGTATTTTATTATAATATATACGTTCGCGTTAAAGTCACACAAAAATATTTGATTTGTTAATATATAATAATTAACATATTCTATATATCATATGGATGTATATATATATGTATGATACACTCTTTTTTTCAAAACTCATATATTGAACTATTCGAAGTTTTATTTTTATATGGAATCTTATAGAATTTTTGTTCACTTTTTTACTTTGCACTTCTCGTTACAAAATAATAATAAGATATATAATTGTATAAGTAATAAAGTTTCTTTTAATAAATTATTACCTAGTTTTTTCTTAGACATGATATAAATAAAAAAAACAAAGAGATACTTTTCTACTAAAGTTATTCATAACTTGATATCACGAACTCTTGTGCTTCCCCCTACATTCGTAAATTGATCCTGCATGCGCAAAAGGAATATAACCTAAAACGCATGTCAAGCAAGAATGATTGATGATCAGTTCACCAATGGATCAGTTGTTGATTATCACTGATTATTGTTTACACGACTATTGAAGACTACAAGATATTGTTGTGACAATCAAAATGCAGAGTGCATCTCATCGTATTACTTATTTTCAGATATACAGATATATTAGTTCATCTAATACATATTTGAATCTTTCTAGAGAAACTAGATTTATGAAAAAACTACTGAAGGGTAACAAGTCGAAAAGGTTAAGCACAGGTTTATTGTAATAAGTAAATATTTGCTTATATTATAATTTTTTGTTGAATGTTAGTTTTTTGCATTCCAGGAAATGGTACTATTCGAATGCAGATTTAGGCAGTATCAAAAATACAAATGCGACCAATAAAGCGCTCTCTATGCACACAGTACGCAGAATGACCATTCGGGATAAACTTTTTATGAAGCATATAACAGACTTGATATCAATGGGAGAAATATCTGATGTCTTAAACAAAGACATAGAAGTTACTCATGTAAAAATAACAGCAGACTTTAAATATATAAATGTGTATTGGATACCTATCGAAGAATTTGCTCCCAGTGAAAAAACATTGCAAAAATGTGCCAATATTATTCGCCACAAACTTTCTGAGCTTCGTGTCATTGGAGTAATACCACCTATCCAATTTGTTAGAAATTTACAGTATTCAATAATGGAACAAGTAGAGGAAAAATTGAAAACACTAACTTTAGAACAAGAAAATGACCCTTTGTCATGTTCCGAACTGTCACAATTGTTTTCCTCAGATGCAGATGATCAAGCTTTACATGAAGAAGCAAATCTAAATTATCATTTTGATGTAGATAAATCTGATACAGCATTACCTGTAATGAGACATGATGTTTTAGGATTGGATCATTATAAAATAATGTCAAGGGTAATTTTTTGAATTTTTATTCCATTTGTTTTTTAAGATAAAGATAAAAACTGTTCTGTTAATACTTTCAGATTACTACTTCGTTATCTAAATCAAAAAAAGCTGTACAGAGACGAATGTTAGATATAAATATTACTAGTGCAGATAATAGCTCTTGCGATATTTCAAGTTTCAGAGTTCCCAATATCTTAACAAAGCAAGAGCAACAAGAAATGTTCTCTGAATTTCTGAGAAAAAAAAGAATAGAAGAAAAACACAGAAATCGTGCAAAACGTGTAGAAGAACAGAAATTACTATATAATTATGAAGAAACAGAACCTGAGTATGAGGAAGATTATGAGGAAGATTATAAGGAAGATTATAAAGAAGATTACAATAGTGATGTATAATGTAGCAAATTTACGCCACAAGGTACATACAATGTAATCATAAAACTTGATTTTTATTCTTTCTTTCTGAACAATTTTATTTACGTAAACAATACTACCATTTCATACATTTGTCTGGATTTTCTATTTGTACAATAAATAACTTATTAATGATAATTAATATATTGTACAATAACAATAAATTATGTTGTACATATAAAAACAAAAAAAAGAATTCTTGCTACTTTGTGCAAGTTTGAGATAATTAATAAGAATTAATAAGAACAGCAAGATTGGTTAATTAGCTCGATAACTATTAGAGATATAATCTGTTCAAAACTTAAAATTGTACGTAATGTGTCATTACTTTATATTTTATACAAGCTGTGTGTGTGCTTCCAATTTTCATACCTATAAATTTGTCTATAATACATAACTTTTTAATTAAGTTAAATTTTTAATCACGTATTAAGATTCCTTAATGATCTCGCAGCCAGTTTAGGTTTTGACTGCGGGAACTGGTGCGACAATCTTAGGCGTGTATTTTTTCTCGGTTTTGATATCAAAATCTAAAATTATTTCGGGATTACCAAAGATTCTTAACACATTGCCGATAAATGCGGCAAACGCATATTTGATAACGAGAATTCTCGTTTCTCATCGACAATATGTTAAGATATGAATCTTACTTGTAAAGATCATTTATTATTTTTTTTAGTAGTTTCCGCGATTTGCGGAATGCGCTATCATGATAATTTTCAAGATTAAACGCGAAATACCCTGCGATTTTTTAAATATTTAGAATATCACATAAAACTCGCGCGTATTAGTTTAACATTTATTTTTTTAATATTGTGATATAAATCGCATAACGTATTGCTATGTTACAACATGAAAAAAATTTAAATATTAATATTCTTTACACGCTTATATCTTTGTACACAAAATCTAGTATATTACACTATATTTTTACCACATGATTCTTTGTACCGAATCAATAAAACTGGAATGTCCTGTTCCTCGAGAATATTTCATTTTAAATTTTAACTTGCGACCATTTTGACATTTCCAGTCTTATTCTTTCGACTTTTGTTCTTTAAGCGAAGATTCTTGTTCTTTGTTCGGTAAAGTTACATCTATTTCTACATCACTTACGGGTTTATTGTACAAACGTAAGTTTGATGAAGTTAAATGAGGTATCGAGTCACTTAAAGCACATGCTTCCAGCACATATTTATTAAAAATATCACTTTTGTCTGCATAAACGTGATGCCCGGCTCCAGAAATCACCTGCAAAATAACTTATCTTTTTGTAACTTGTCTTGTTTTTTAATTATAAGAAGTTAATTTGTTTTGTGTATATTGTGTTCACACGTTAATTATCTGTACCTGAACATTAACATAAGATGAAGATCGAGATTGTCTTATCGTCTCACCGGCTGAATTATCGACCCATGATCTACTCCCATACAACAACGTAATAGGTATCTCATTGCTTAATTTGTCCATTCGTTTAACAATAGGATTTTTTGCCCAGCCAAAACCATGCATCATCGCGTGAAACGCACTCTCACCTCTTTTAATCAAATGTATAAATTAAGCATTTAAATTTATGTTTTTATTCTTACGTTGTAAGAAATAATTAACTTAAAAACTTACGATGGCGTCTGTACATTGCACTGATGTATATATTGCGAAATTATTGCAGTATCGTCTTTCAACACAGGAGTAAATTTTTTCACTATATCGGGTCTTGTCTTCTCAATGAGCCACTGTCCTAAAAAAAATAAATAAAATAATTTAATATAATTTGCAATATAAATACTCTTATTTACTTATTTAATAAATATAAATTGTGGACTCCAATTAAATAAAAATACGAAACAAATGTATCGATAAAAGGATACTCACCAAATGGTCCTGCAACTCTGACTGCCCATAACGGATTCAAAGGCTGCACTGCAAACGCTATAGCCTTAACCCAAAATGGTACGTGTGCTCTTGCAGCAGTATCAGGTTTCTCAGGAAAACCCCATGGATCAGCTAGTATAAGATGTTTTACTCTCTCTGGATATCGCATCGCGTAAGATGCCGCGAGAAAACCGCCCATTGAGTGGCCCAGTAACACAAACTTTTCCAGTTGCATTTCTCGTCTCCATTCTTCCACAGAACGCACCAACTGCTCCTCAGCTTTTTGTGCTTCGTTACTAAAAACAGGTCTACTACTCCTACCAAATCCTATTAATAAATAAAAGTAATTCTTAAATATTTATGTGCACACACAAACACATGCACGCTGGTCAAAAATACATACGTTGAAGTAAAGGGATATAATTACATTTAAAAGATAAAAAGATAGGGAAAACAGCAGAGATACATAGATATACAAACAATGTATATATATTCATTTGCAATTACAAAGTTCGCATAACACTTAGTCATAGAGATATGAATCATGTTTGTCAAGTGGATTTTACAGAACAGAACAAATGAAAATATCAGAGAAATATTATAGAACACTCTCTTAAATTAAAATACTTTCTTCAAAAATTAAAAAATTTTAATAATTAAAACTTTACTTACCTAACAAGTCTATGGCGTATACTGGTCTCTGAGATGCAAGCGCATCTAGATTTAAACACCATAATGCTACACCAGCTCCTAAGCCATGTAATAAAACAATAGGAGTCTTTGGCGATTCTTCATTTAACGAAATAGTCCAGATTTTATCGGCTGGTCCCACTACTGGCCCAATATCCACATACCATCCTCTATATGCAGTTTTTAAACCTATAGCAGATTATTTTTAATATGAATACAAGACTTTATATCAATCTAAATTAAAAATAATTCTAACAAAAGAAAATAAAAAGAGTAAACAGCTAAACTAATAAAAATAAATCTCAGTTTGACACTTATTTTTTTATTTTACTTACATGACAAAATTTTCTTTTCTGCAGCACGTAACATGGTTGAAGACGACCCAGACCAGCTAAACCATCCCCAAACCCAGCTGCTATTTTGGTAATTCAAAAGAACTTTATGTTTTTTTGTATATTCACAGATGTCACGGAGGATATGTTCACAGAAAGAATGGTAGGACTTTATTTACAGTAGTAGTTTGTGTGTGAATATATATATATATATATATATATATATAATTAAAAACTTTAAATTGATCACACATCGATATCCCCAAATCATACATTATAATGCATCAGCATGAATAAATGCTAAATGTGTATTAATAGCTGTTATATCATAGACTTAAATTATTACGTTCCTACTCACGCACATTTATCTATGATTGCATTATTTATAGCCACGTGGTTGCAAGAAGTTAGACAGCAAAATGGCCTTGAACGATAGATTACCTAGTAACTTAAATCTTCTAATTCGTCATAATTTTTAACACTATGTATTAAGAAGTTTGTGTATATTTCTTATCAACGTTTAAATCATCGTCTCTTCCTTGTGTTACACTGTATTGCATATAAAACCTATCTTATATAAAATAGTATCGTATAGAAAAAAGACAAGAGACTTCTTGCATGATACGCAAAATGATTCTTGTCGCCAAAATGACGTAATATCACGATGACAGTGCGGTAGTCGCATTTAAAATTACACATAATTGACACATACACAGATCAATGAACGGATTTTTCGCGAATCTTCTCAATGGTCAATTAATTTTCCAATTCTTACCTTCTCGCCTGAACGATTTCATGATCCGCCATCATCTCAGCACAAAGACGATGGTGGACTCTACAGCTGTTCCGCCGTCAATGGTTCTCTGTTTGTCGCAACAACGCGGAAATACGCTCATATAGCTCGACACGCGATAGATATAGGCATGTACTACAATGCTATTATCTTGCGTAAGCTTGTTGAATGTATGTACATAATACATACGCATACATTATACTTTTCAAGTGGTCGGTGATAGATAGTGGTGGAATACCGTGTGGGAAAGGAATCAGCTGATATTGAATCAGGACAAACCACAACATCTATGTACTAAACTGCTTATTTGTACCTTTAACTTGTTCCCAAAGTATAAACTATGAAACTTGCGCATGCGCGATCCGAAGGTCTATCGGAAGAAGCTACATACATACATATATAAATGATGTAAATCATAACACATGATGTAAATCATAATATTGTGTCAACATTGCAAGACATGATCACGTTCCACAATAATTAAGTGTATAATAAAAAATTTATTATATAATTTTTATATATTTATAAATTTTTTAATTATATATAATTTATTTTTTAAAACAGATTTTGATGTTAAAATATACATTATGGCATTCATATACATAATGAAATTTATTATGGTAAAAAAATATTAAAATGTCTCTCTATTTTATATTAATACAAACTCTCCGACAACAAACTCTAGGTCAGTGTTTTTACTTAATTATCTTATCAAAGAGTTTCCATCAGAGTCTGTCAAAGAACTAAAGGATCTTAAAATAAAATAGATGCTAACTTGAATTTAAATCGTCTTTGTTTTTAGCAGTGAGTTCAAAGATCATATCTCGCATGCGACTTAATTCTGTTAATTCTAATTTCATTCTTTGAATATTTCCGTCTTTTTCCGCTATGGTTTGTTGATATGTCTGCAGCATTTGTGTCATTTGTTGAATTTCTTGATTTAATGCAGATATATCGTTTTGATATGTTACTATTTCTACACTCTTGTTCTCTATAATCTATAACATACAAAAAAAATATTTGCGTAAAACAGTTTTCATCTAATATGTAAAAAATGTGTAATACCAAAATTATACCTGTTCCTTCTTGCTAAGAGTATCTTTCATTTTTTGTAAGAGTTTACTTAATTCGTGATTCTTATTGGTCATATCTACAACCTTCGCATCGGCAGTTAAACGTTCATTATCTAACTCCTGGACTTTCTTACTCAATATATCATTCTTATTATTACTGGCTTCTAATTCTTGTGTACATTGCATCAGTTTCTCATTCAGATTTTCTAACGTTGTCGATTTTTCTATTACAATTTTTCTCAAGGACTCATTTTCCTTAAAGTAAAAGGTAAATGCAACCCAAATATATAAAAACTGCTTTTATAATATTATAATTGCATAATCACATAATAAATATCAACCTGTTTTTTCATAAGAAGCGCTTTCTTAGATTTTTCTTCTATCTCATTAAGTTTTTCCATTAATGTAGATTTTTCAGCTCTTGTTCCTTCCAAACACTGTTGAGTATCAAACAATAATTGATGTAATCTACCAGACTCAGCTACTACTTGTGCTAATCTATGTTGAAGACTAGTAGCATGATTATTCGCTGCTTCTAAACTTGATTGCATTGCTCTTTCGGAATGTCTCATTGCTGCTAACTGTAATAAAGATAATTGAGACACATGATTATGTCGCGCGAACTAATTACATATATACATATGTATGTGTGCAAGCGCGCGTGTGCACGCGCATGTGTAAATATATAAAAAAAAAAAAAACAAAAACAAAAACAAATACATAAACGTGTACCTTATATTCGTATAATTCCATTACTGCGGATGTCGGAAGATCACTTATTTGATTGGATTCAAAAGCTGATTGAAGTTTAGCTAAAAATATATCGAGACGTTCTTCTTGTACAGCTGAAAATAATGGCGCCATTTCGTGTCCATTATAATTTAACGATGTTTTATTTGCGATTTCCAACACATTGCTATTAGTACTCTGAACTAATACCAACGGTTCCAACTCCTTCATGCACGATGCCACCGCGAAAACACTAGAAATAAAAATATAATAATTCTGTATATTTTGAATTCAAATTACACCAAGTAAAACAAATTACCAATCCTGCGGAAATCCAACCGACGATGTCAATTGCAAGACTTTTTGTTTTACTTCCCCATCACCGGTAAATAATGCCAACGCCATTATTATTTGCACTTGTTTCTTGCTAAGCAATTCAGAATACAATGTCAGCCAGTTAGAATGGTTCGCCGCCAAATCTGCTGTCAAAGCTAATGCATGAATGTACAGATTGGTAGACACGTTCTGCAAAATTAAAAATCTAATGTCAATATGATTCTAATTTGTTTTGATATATGTTATATAATACAAAGTAATAATACTTGAATAAAATTCCCGATCCAATCTCCAGCGGCAGAGAACTCGTTATCTAACAAATGACTAAACAATTTACGCATCGCATGTTCATTGAAAGATTGCATAATCTTTTTTTTAAGTGCCGGAGTTTTGATCATTTCTTGAAACAGTTGCATCAATTCAGCTTGTCTCATTTCCGTTTCTGCAGTTTGATTCTCATTACCGTCGTTTTCTGGATTTGTTATGAGCATAAGGACAGATGGATCTATCTCCATTAAAACTTCGACGGAAGTTTTAGTACGACGAGAGTCGATTATCACGGTTCGTATGAGCGTTAAAGCTTTAGAGCACACCTATATATTTTCCGAGAGAAATTTCTATTAAAACATATTAATTCATTATTGAAATTTAAATGTTAATCATGTAATATGTATAATAGAAATCGCATACTTGTTCCACGGGCACCCATGTCATAGCTGATTTTATACAAGCAGGATACAGAGGTGTTAAGGCAGCTACTTTCAGCTTCACCAACGATAATAAGAATTCCATCATCAGAGCAACGCATTCCGGGTCTGTATTTTCTTCCAAAGTTGCTAATATATTTTGCACGTCATTGCCATAACTAATACATCCCCCCAAAACATAATATCCTTATGCATTATTATGTAACACAATAAATCAATTGAATAGACTTACTTTGAATATGTAAGCAGCACATTTCGAGAATGTTCGTTTTGTCCAACATCGTTGAAAAAATCAATAATATGTCTTAATAATAAAACATCTTTTTGTATCATTGCTGTTTTGAGATTTGTAAAAGTTAATGATGCAAAATCCATGATATATTTCTCGGAAATGTTTGTATTTGTGGGCTCCAATATAATCAATAGCTTGCAACATTGTACACTAGTACTGACATGATCTTGGAGTTTTAACAATGTTCTAATAAATGCTTTAGTATTGATGGTTCGCATCAAAGTGTAGACTGCTGGAAGATTTTTGTAACACAGATTTACCAGCACTCCCAAGGATAGGGCAATAATTTCTTCTTCTTTTGCTTGAACCACCCACTGAGTCAATGTAGAAATTAAATATGGAAGATGAGCTTCTTGCCATGATATCTTAATTCCATATGTTAATTCTTGCAATAATTTTAATACTCTTATTCTTTTCTCACTTGTCAGATTTGCCTAAATGTAATCAATCAAAAAGGAATAAATATAACAGTATGTGACACACACACGCACAACAGTATATTAGAATTTTCCATACCTCTAGTAATCTTGCCAATAAAGGTGCAAATTTGTATGTGTGAATCAGTGATTGTCTAGAGGAAATATTCCGGCAAGCATTTTGTAAAACATCCACAGCACTCCAGATCAAGGTGGATCGTGATCCAAAGGAATTCATAAGTTCATACAGGCTTACATAGAATTCTGCAGCTATACTAGTACCAGGATCGAATATACTCAGATCTAATGATGCACTTATCACCTTAAAAACAGTAATGTAACATAAAATAACATATTTTGCAACAGTTTTCTACAAAGTAATTGCAATATGAATCATTAAACAGAGTAGCTCTTACAAAATTTTTCAGAATCAATTCAAAATTATTGGCATTTTTTACATTTTTTTCCGAGAAACAAAATACAACAAAAATCAAAATTGATTCTAAATAATTTCGTAATAGATACCCAGATAAACATAATGTCATTCTCATGTCATATTTTACCCCGAGGCTTCTTTGTATTGCAGATATAGCGTTTTCGTTAGGATGCTTGCTATATTCCGTAGCTGCTGAAATGAATGCTTTCATGTGTTGATACTTCTCCATTGTGTTCGTAATAAATGTTTTCGAAAAAGATTTAAGATCGCTTCAAATCGCTCTACTCGCTTATTAATGCGTCGATATCTTTCGAAAATTTATTACTGAGAATATACAAATAGAAATTACACATGTCCTCAGAGTTTACTTATAACAGAGATTCATTATTCAGCGAAGGTGGTTTGGTATTGGAACAGTTACCGAAATTATTAGATTGAACAGAAATCATAGCACATCAAAGAGCACATTTATGTTGTTGATACGCGCCTTTCTTGGACTCACGAATTCCCAAACAAAGGTTTGAGCCTATTTTTAAACAAACCGACTTGATTCAAATTCAACCAATCGCGCGTACGAATGCGTTCTGAAATTCACTGCTGGAAGCAGTAAATAAATTAGCCGCAATCACAAGCACGCATTAAGCCCGTTCTACATTAAACGTAAGTCGCAGAAGTCGACCGGTCACTGCGAACGTGTGAACTCGACTTAATCCCTACGTATGGCGAGTTCCTATGGGAACAGTTTGTAAGGTGGCTTTAGCTATGTGAAAACACTGCCGCAACTATATAAGCCATCGTGTTCAAACGTGTCCACATTGGTTCCTACTTGTCCGTAGTGGTCGCTTGGTCGGTACGTATAATACGTTCGTGTAAACGCGGAGAGAGATAACCGATTCGAGGAAGATACGTATAGAGTTGGCTGAGACGTGCGAACACGCTGGGATTTCGCGTGCTCGATCCCGTGGACCTGGGAAATCAAACGGTGATCGTTCGCATCGCGTGACCTCCGCAGAAATACGCCGCACAGCTGAACGAACGGACCGAAAAGTGACGCAGCACCGTATGCATCGCGCGTGTCGGTAATCTCTCTCTCTCTCTCTCTCTCTATCTCTCACATACACACTCGCTCACTCACTCTTTTCCCCTCTCTTTCTGTCTGTCTCTCCCTCTCCTAACGGTGTGTCAAAGTTCCGACTGCTCGTTGTCGACGAATCCGTCGTTCGTGTCCGTCGATATAGGTTACCGAAAAGGGAACCCGCGCTGGTGTGTTGTAAAACGACGTTTTTTTTCACGGCTGTTAACATCTCCGGATAGCCATCGCGCAGCTCGTTCTCGCCGTATGCAAACAACAACGAAGCGAGAGCGAGAGGATCATCAAAGTGCGAGTATAATTGTCCGAGAATCGCGGGATTGGTTCGAAGAAGAAGGAACCGAGAGAGAGAAGAGTGCTTCTGAGTTGCGTGCGTGTTTTGTGTACTACTCCTCCTCCGTTCGGGAGCTGTCATAAATGTACACGTTCTACGTAGATTGCGCGATCTATGCTCGGTCAACGGGCCGATCTATCGATGGCAAGTGCTGATCGTGCTTGAACGCTTGCGGCGGTAAATCGTCGACGTTTATTCGTCACATAATCATCATCATCACCACCACCGTCGCGCGGCGTTTTTTACGTTGCGCCCGTGTCGTCGGCGTCGTCGTCATCGTCGACGTCTCCCGAGAAGCCAGCGCGGCGTATCTATCTAAACGGCGAATCTTTCAACAAGAAGCAGGTTAAGCATACTCTCGACTTGATGATTTCTCCATTCTCTCTGGCAGGTGTCCATCTCTCGAGAGCACGCGAGCGAACGAGCGAGCGAGCGAGCGAGTAAATGAGATAAAGAACGGATCGCTAAATTGTAAATCGGTTTATACAACACAAAGAGGAAGATGTTAATAATGTCACATCCAAATAAGAGACGAGAGAGCGAGAGCGCGTGCCGTTCGTACTGACACCAACGCGTTTCTCTCAAAACAGCCGGAAGGTTTGCCCGACGTTTTCGAAGAGTGAACAGATAGTTCGGATGTTGCTGACGTTTCAATGAAAACGGGCGGTGACAAGTGCTCAGGGCTGTAACAATCGTGGCGCATTCGTTCACTCCCTTTATTCATCTCTTTATTCTCCTCTCTCTCTCTCTCTCTCTCTGACTTGTTCGTTTGCTCGTTCTCTCTTTCTTTCCCTGCGATCTTTTTCTGCTATCTCGCATCACCTATCTTTGTCTCTCATTCGCACACATACGATGCAAAAGCGCTTGCGCACGCACACATACACACGTATGCACTGGCTTTCTGGTTTTGTTCCTTTTCTACGTCAACCGATCGTTTTAACGGTTTCTCGTGATTTTTCGATAATGTCCTGTCTGCCCAAGGTCCGAGAGGTGTTGTCGGTTACGTGGATGTAATTCCTTCCGCGAGAGGAAGGTTTTTCTTTCGACTCGCGAGACGAGTCCGTACGACAGTACGTACATAGAACACGCGAGCGCGCTCTCATCGGCTCTTCCCACGAGTGGTACATACACGAATCTCGTGATTTGTCGTAAAAAAAACGTCGAACTTGGTGCATCGCTCCTGTTCGTGACAGCTGCTCCTGTGCTCGCTCTTTTTTGTTCGAGTCGTCTCCCGAACTTTTACGAAAAGAAAGTAATGCGGAAAGACGTATTTGACGACGTTAGCGCGGAGACTAATTGGATAATGTGATTAACAGTGCCGGATCTTAATGGGCTAAAAGAGAGCCGATAGTTGTTTTCCAAATAAGTTAAGCTACCTTTGACTTTTATTGCGGTGCTTGTAAGTAATCATTGGTTTCTTACAATATCAGATTCATCGTGTCAGTTGAGAAAGTCGATCACACCAGCATCGAGATTAGTCGAAGACTCAACACCGTTCATCATATTTTACTTTGAGAGATCACGTCTTTTTCTATTTCTCACGCATAATATTTCCTACTTCAAGAATTTCTTTCTTTTTTATTTTGATACCACTCCGTCCGTCATTCTCTCTACAATCTTTGTTTTTCGGGACAGTCTTATCTTGTCACTTGCCGAGAGTGTGCATTCGTGTTTTCTTAATAAAATTTATCTTTCGGAATGAGATGAAAAATGTCTTCTCTTAAAGAATTCTCTGCTCGTTGTACGTTTTTGTAATCTTTTTTTTTTATTTTTACATATGGTCACTTTAATTGCATTAATTTTTGTTTTTTTTCGTATCTTGAGCTACAATTTTTTAATTGGACAATTTTTATGAACACGTATGTGTGTAAACTTTGTGCGATCTAAGAAATTACATTTAGTAATTAAGCGCATACGTGTAAAATGTCTTATCTGTCACACACATGATTTCAGTATAAATAGTCATTTATCTGTTGAATTAAGCTCTAATGAGCAAAGCGACACTTGTAAACTAAGATCGTACCAGAATAATATCTTACATAAGAAATTTTCATTTATTTTTGTTAAATACCTGTGTGAAATAATTGTTGCTAGACTGTGTATATATATATATATATCAATGTATATTACTTTTAATTTTTTTGTAATTTTCTTAAATATAATAAATAATTAATTTAATATAATAATAATAAAGACGCAATCAACAATAATATAATAACCACAACGATACACAAATAAGTAATAGTAGTAATGAGTCAGTTCATAAAGTTGTTAGATTGGTCAAAGAACGATTTGTTTTCTTTATAGGAACTGATCATGGCGAATCGGGGTACGGCTCAAAGGCCAAATGGATCAACGCAAGGAAAAATTTGTCAGTTTAAACTAGTTTTACTTGGTGAATCGGCAGTTGGAAAGTCAAGCCTTGTTTTAAGGTTTGTCAAAGGACAGTTTCACGAATATCAAGAGAGTACAATTGGCGGTAAGAATATATACTATTGTACATGATTGTTCATTTTTACTTTTTTATTTAATACTTGTTATTATCATGATAAATATTATTTCCAGCTGCATTTTTAACACAAACTGTATGCTTGGATGACACAACGGTAAAATTTGAAATTTGGGATACTGCAGGGCAAGAGCGTTATCATAGTCTTGCGCCCATGTATTATCGTGGTGCACAGGCAGCCATTGTTGTATACGATATAACAAATCAGGTATATAGTGTTTTATTGAGATTTTTTTAACCAAGAGGAACAGGAGAAGATAATCCAAAACTATATAAATCTCTTGTATGTTATGTTTCTAGGATACTTTCTCACGTGCCCAAACATGGGTAAAGGAATTGCAACGTCAGGCGAGTCCAAGTATAGTAATAGCATTAGCTGGAAATAAGGCAGATTTGGCAAATAAAAGAGTGGTCGAATATGATGAAGCTCAAACGTATGCAGATGAAAATGGCCTTCTTTTCATGGAAACATCAGCTAAAACAGCAATGAACGTTAACGACATATTTCTTGCAATTGGTGAGTTGCTGTTATATTCTGTCAACGTTACTATGTCATGTCTTATCGTATCTGTAAAGCAATTAAAAATTACTTAATTTGAAAGAAATTAATATGTTTAAGTTAAATCAATATTAATACGCGTACAATTGTTCTGAACAGTTTAAAATGATATTTGTACCATATTTACCAGTTTATATTGATAACATGTACATACAACCAATCAGAAATATTATTCCATCTTGTATTACATGTTATCACTATAATACAAAATGTGTGGTAACAGTACTTTTATATTAGCTGATTGTGCATTCTGTTGAGCAATAGAAGCATTTTTTTGAAAAAGCGGGCGAAGTATTTGCAATGTTAACCAACATTTTTAGTGTAATTGAGTACATAATTGTGATTATATATTTTTATTCTCTTTTTACAGCTAAAAAGCTTCCAAAAAATGAACAGTCAGGAAGCGCAAGTACAAGCGGTCAAGGTCGTCGACTAGTCGAATCAGATGGACAAAAGGCAGCAACCGGCAATTGCTGCAAGTGATTATCTAAATCCGTATGTGTCTCACAATATTCGTATGTCTATTTTTACATTATTTGAATACATGCTGTCTTTAAAATATTAATCGAATTAACGAGAGATATTATTTCACTAATGAAAAGTCAGAAACATTTGATACGCCTAATGAGAATACATTACAAATCAAACACACGTTCAGTGTAACAACATTGTTCACATATTTTTATAACACTACTAGAATATATAGTGAAACAAAAACGCGATCAAAAAACAAACGGAGAAATATCATTTTGATATGTCATAGAATAGATAATTGCACTTTAAAATGCTTTTAGCAGATTCTTTTCTTTGTATCATGATTTGGGAATATATTTCGAGTAGTAGTTTTTGCAGTTTATATCATAGAATATATTATATATTTCTTGTTATGTTTAACATTTTTTATATTCTCAACTTTTACTTTCTGTTTCATCTGTTTATATTTATTGGAACAATGTAAACAGAAAAGTGGATAAGAAGACAAAATATTGCGGATTATGTGAAAATAAGAATTCATTAATATAGTATCAATATTAGCTTGTAATTGGTTTTGCACGAGCAAAAAAGTGAACAATGAGATGTGTTGACATGCAATAATAACGAAAACAAATATCAGATTTATCATCTACACAAATAAATGTAATTTATAAATATTACTAAATAATTATCAACAATATCTCTCTGAGACACTACTGGTTTATTTCTTACAATTATATACATATATATATACAATATATATATATATATATGAAAAGTGTTTTACACACAAAATGTGTATGTGGAAAAAAAATAGTTTTAAATTTAATAATGTTTCCATCATATAAAAAATACATATATTTTTAATGTAAAACTATATAATTATTTATTAATGAACTTTTTTTATATAGCATTATTGCAATATATATCTCTGTTCAAATTATTCATTATACAAATATTTGTTATAGTGATTTCATGCAATTGAAACAATTATTGAATTGAAATCTGTTGCAAGATTATATTCCATTATATACATATACATAGTTTGAATATTTTTATGTGCTGTTGCTAATAATCTTGTAATTTCTTAGATATCAAACTTATTAAATTTAAATAACATTTACATTAAAAGTGACGGTTTTTAAACTATATACTGAATTATTACTTACGCGTGTAACAATTTATAATCCACGTGATACAATGTCTAAAAACATTGTTGTTCTATATTATTTTCCGTGTTTTACTGTAATATTTATTTATCATTAGTTCAGGTCTATTTTATACAAACTTTCCGCGAAAAATAAAAACAATGTTAAGAAGGCATTAGAAATATCTTTATTCATTAGATTGTAGTTGTGTAACACTATATGTTTGTAGATATTAATACACTTGTAAAAGTTTCTTTTTTTCAAGTGAATATTTTTTGACTGATAAAGGTGCTACAAGTACAAGAATATACATGCATAATATTATGAAACAAGATTGCAAAAGTTTCTTGTAATTTACTATACTTTAATGCTCTAATCTCTCCTGTGCAATGACTCGTATCATCGGATTGTATATTCGAAGTATATTATTTTGTAATAATGTTAGACGTGAAACACATTGTTTAAAATTGTTAAAAAAAAAAAAATTCTCAGGGTACAATTTTTCCCTTTAATCTTTGAATATTTGCTGTATTGTAATTATGTTACTCTTATATTTCCGCTATATAAAGTACGATCATCTGAATATGTTCTGTTAAAATCATAGTAGTCCCATTTCTGTATAGAAACATTTCCGAATTCGTCAGTCAAATAAAATGTTTTACAGTAGTTACACGTTTCTTATATACATTGTAAATATTTAACGACTGTAACACATTACGAAATCATATTGTAACTCACATTCTCTCCTTTTCATTTATCATGTAATGGAGAAAAGTTAATCTTTACATGTATATTCATGAGATCGATAATACATTATTTATGCATTTATTCATACATTTATATAATAACTGTTTTATTTTTGTGTTAGAAAAGTTATTTTCAGAGATTTTCTCTTTCTTGATTAAATTAGGTAAGTTGAAAGTAAATTATGTTGTTAATGTTTTGGAAACGAACTTACACTTCATTATATTATATGTTGCCGACATAATTTTTTATTGTTTTGAGTTGGAAACCTGATCAACTACAAACTAAAAATGTAAATATACATTACATATATATATATATATATACACATGTATATGTAAACGTAAACTAACTGTTGCCTTTACTTATTAAATTTGTATTTTTTTATTATAAATATTTGGAATGATATATTGCAGTAGATGTGCTATCTATTATATATATTTCTGATTACAGATATGTACTATATTCCACAAAGATAATTATACCACAACTGTGGTACGATGAATATGAAAGGAAGACACAACGGGAGAAAAACACTATACAGAGTGGGAAGTGAACTGTGCGGGACATTTGCAAACATTTTGCTTGAGTGAATGACTAAGAGCCTGCAACTCAATGTAATCGACGATATATCATCTATTTTGAGTATCAGATCTATTAAAAGGTGGCTCCCATTTGTAATTCTAGTAGTGTAATGGGTGGTGTGTTCGTTATATATAAATATATAAAAATATATATATATATATAAAAATACATTATATATATATCTATATATATATATA